CCCTACATGATGCTACCTTCCAACTCTGTGCGGGAGCCATCCTGCTGGGAAAAGAAAAATATCATGTCCCACCTGCTTAACTTCTTTCCGCTCTGCTGACAGTCCTTCCTTCACTCATTTCCTGAGTGCCCTCGCTGTGCCCTGCTTGAGAATTCAAGGTGACTAAGGCATGCTGCTTACCCGAGAGGCACTCATCGTCGAGTGGTCTGGAAGCTTCTGGTTTCTACCACTAACAAAGACATCTTTTTCTAACTGGTAAAAAAAAAAAAAAAAAAAAAAAATGCTCTGAGGCTAATTTTTTTTTTTAATGTACTGTTTTGTTTGCTGCTGTCTTAATTGTTGCCATGTTATATTTTATCAGTTTAATGTTTTAATTTTGTGCTTGGGCGCTGAGGCAATTCAGTGAAGGGTATCATTCAGAAAATCAAGAAAATAATAATTAAAAAAATTGTCCACAGAAGAGGAAGCCTCCCAGGAGCTGAGGACAAAGCATAAGTGTCTGAAATGAATTTTATTAGGAACAAAACAAAATCAAACAACCTGTTGCCAGACAGAAGGTATTAGACCATCCTGGTTTTGGTTTTGTTTTTAATTTAATATCAGTTCTTCATTTTTCCCAACGTCAGCCCAAGAGTCATCATCCCGTTCCCTTTACATTGCCTTCTAGAAGCTTCCCCATTTCTTCTTCCGGGCCTGTACTCACAGTGTGTGTCCTGCCTGATCTGCCCTCTTTCTTCTTCAGGAGATAGGCTATATGCTCTAACCACCCTTGCGTTTGCCAATATTTGTTGACAGGTGTTGGGATAACACAGCCAGCAAGACAACCCCAAATCTGCCTTCAGGGAATTTATATCCTACAAAGGTGTTCATTCTCAACGGGGGTGATGATACCACAAGGGAGTGAAAATTAGTTCTTGGAGCGGTGAAAAACATCTTTGGTTTTTCCCAAAGATTTGTATGTTCATCAGCCTGTTGACTAGCTCAGTCGGTGGCCCATTCAGCCACCCCGTCAGGCACCCGGGCATTGCCATCAGTTTGAGTCGTCAACCATCTCCCAGCTCAGGCTGCTGGTTATCAGCCTCAGGGTCGCCCAGTCCACAAAGGCTTCCCCTCTCTCCCTGCAAACTGACTCTGTCTGTCTCCACTTCCCTCCCTGCCCAGAGCCCAGAGGTTGGGCACCTCTCTTGCCAACACTTTAGACCTCTGTGCCCCTTTCCCCCACCCATCTGGCAAAACCCGAGGCCTCCGGATAAACCCCACTAAGTACTTTCCCCCCGGCCTGCACCTGGGTGGGAGAGCTACGAAGGGGGATGTCACTCAGTGGGATGGGACAGGACACACATAAATTAACGATCGCCAGCCTCAACTGGGTTGTCAACACTGGGGATTTTGTGGGCAAGTTTGCTTCTCAACTCAGAATGCTCATTCTCCTCCTTCCTCCAGACTCTTCACCACCTCTTCCTCGCTCTCAGCAGAAGACCTTGCCTCCCACTTTGCAGAAAAAATAGAAGCTCAAGATGAAATCTCCCTTAACATCCCACTACAAACCTACATCTACATCTGCACCCGTCCTCTCTTTGTTCCTTCTTTTGGTTTTAGAGAAGTCATCCCTCCCCCTCTCTGAGACCAACCCCTCCACCCACGTGCCTGATCCCTCGCACATGCCCGTGAACATCACTCACTGATTTTCTCCCCTATTCCCTACACCCCTAATTAAACTCTCTCCCCTTGATCTGCCTTTAAACAAACCCAGCTCTCTTGCGCCTTAGAACATACCTCCCCCAACACGCACACACTGACCCTGTCACACTGTCTCTCTCGTCCGCTTCACTCAGAAACTTTCCAAAAGACCCACAACCTCCCTCATCCCTCCTTCAGTCATCAGACCACTGCCACCTGACTTTCCCCATCACACCACAGAAGTGGAACTCCCGAAAGCCATCAACAATCGCCATACCTGTCATTAACCCAACGCTCCTGGCTCTCTTCTCACCCCATCTGACTTCTTAGAGCATTCCCCATGGGCTCGCCCCACTTTCCTAAAGCTCTGTCCTTGCCTTCCTTCCCTACACCCACGGTCCTGGGTTTTCTCCTGTCTGTTCACTCCTTCTCAGTCTTTGCAGACACAACCTCCTTTGTGCAGCCCTAACCTGTGGGTTCACCTCTGAGCTCCATCCCGGGTCCCCCTTCTCTCCTCTGCCCCTGTTCTGCTCCCTGGGCAATCGGCCCTCATCCACAGCCACGATGAGCATCTCTGTACTGACAGTTCCCCGTCTTTACGGGAGTCCAAACCCAGGCTTCCAAGTGCCTACTCAACACCTGGACTCGACGTCTCAAAAGCATTGCAAGCTCCACGTGGCTAAAGTGGAACTTGTGCTTTTCATGTCCCCCTCACCACCCTCCCCTCCTCGCTCTGCCCCCACCCCAGTCCTCTCCCAGCGGTCTCTCTTTCGCAGGGAAAGTAGCTGCCTGCCAGGCTGCACAGAAACCTCAGAGTCCATCCTGACACTCTCTCTCCATTCCAACACAGCTCGATGACAATTTTACTTCCTGATGACTCTGGAATCTTCCACCACACTCCACCTTCACTGCCACCGGCATCGCCCCATTATATTCTCTCTGGATGCCTGCCTGTGCTCCTACCCCTCACTTGGCTTCCAGCATGTACACATACACACCCTGCTGCACCCTCCACTGAGAATTCACACAGGTCACATTAAAATGAAAAATCATCCTGTCCTTCTTGGACCTACACTGTCAAGTGGCTTCCTATCATACTTAAGATGAAAAGAAAGATCCTTAATGTGGAACCTGCCTCTGCCCACCTTCCATATTCCCCAATCCCCCTGTTCCTCTACACCCTGCTACCAAGGGCCGTTCTCGCCTCTTCTCTAAGCTGCACCTTCTGCCTCAGGCCCTTTGCACTGGTTCTTCCCTCTTCCTAGGAGTCTTCCCCTCCCATCCTCACCTATACATAGTTCATATTTCCTCACAAATAGCACTTCCTCAGGGAGTCCTTCCCTAACCCCTCCTTCCTGTTAAATGCTCTCACAACAATGGTTAACATACATAGAAGCACAGCACTATTGTTCGGAGCCCTTCTGAGCATTTCTGTTTAGAAGGCAGTTACTCCTCGTGACAACCCTATGATGTAGAAAGTATAATTATCTCTATTTTACAGATGAAGAAGCTGAGGCACAGAGAAGTTATGTAACTTATCCAAGGTTCCCTAGTGAACAAGAAGCAAAGCCAGAATCTGAACCCTAGCCCTGTGACTCCTGCCCTGTGTTTACTGTTCTGCAAGAAAACTCTATCCTTTTCCTATCTGCATGTCCTCGCTGTTTGTAACAATGTGTCTGTATGACCGTTTAGCGTGTCTCCAGCGTGTCTCCCGCTTTAGACTCTAAGCTCTGTTGGGGCGAAGATTACTTCATCCCCCATAGTAGGTGCTCAATAAATATTTTTTGGTAAATGGCTGAATGCAGACTCGTCTCCTCCCCCTTTCTCACTCACTGCATTCAGTCACCTAGCCCTGGCCCTGGTTCTTCCCAGAGCAGCAGTAACCCTAGGAGGTCCAGTTATGTGTTTATGTGCATCCTAAAACTGGAAGGAAAATGTTACGTCTGTACACATTCAAAATTTTCTACAGCAGGGTGCCTGGGTGGCTCAGTCCGTTGAGCATCAGACTTGATTTCAGCTCAGGTCATGATCCCTGGGTCGTGGATCGAGCCCTGCATCGGGCTCTGTGCTGAGTATGGAGTCTGTTTAGGATTCTCTCTCTCTCCTTCTGCCCCTCTGAAAAAAAAAAAAAAAAAAGGAAAAAATATTTTTAATTCTCTACAGCAAAGTCTAGGTGGTTCATGCTGTCTCCAGTTTCTCAATGGGTTCATGAAGTTAAAAAGAACTGATGCAAATATTCCCCAGCCTACTTCATCCTCTCCCTGCCAACCTCTCCTCAACAAGTACAACAACCTTACATCTAGTTTTTGTTCTCCACGCATCCATCTCTGCATTTTGATGACAGCAATCTTTTAAAAACACAAACCCAGGTCACCCTCCTACATAAAACCGGAGATTCTCTATCACCCTTGGAACAAAGTGCAGGCTCTGCTGGGCAGGAGAGGGTGCTGTAGGGCCTATTTCTTCCCCCAACTACAGCCCACCAGCACAGACTGGGTTCTATGTTTGGGCTTCCCAGCCTATACCGGGTGGTTTCTCCTGTCTGTATACAGGCACTGCCCTCTACCTGGAATGCCAGTCCTGTCTTCTGCAGAATCAGAAATTCCTATTGAATCTTTAAGCCTCAAGCTAGATATCTCTTTGGGGTTAGGTGCCCCTCCTCCCTGCGTCCATAGGCTGTGCCTATCCCTGACAATGCGCTCAAGGCATTGAACCATAGTTGCTTGGTTACCGACTCTCCTCCTTTTGAGCTTTGAGGGCAGCCACCATTTCTTAGTCATCTTTTTATCCCTCCATTCTAGGTGAACACTAGCCTAAGGTATGGTGCTCAAAAACGGTTTATGCAGTGAATGAATAATTATAAGTAGTCATGGGCCCTAAAAAAAAATCTGTGAAATGAATAAGAGTGGGTAACTAGAAGTTCGGGACCAGAGAGAGATGCAGATTTTAGATGTTCAGAGATGGGTAAGACCCTATCGCACCCGTCAGAGCTAACATGGAAGACAAATGCCTGCAGTGAACGAGTCTGGACGAGGTAAGGGGGAATCATTCATCTCAAGGCTGGGAGGAGGGTCTAGGTCTCAACACGCCCTCCTCCCGCCAATGGGAGGCCTCGTAACCCTCCAAGCCTCCGCCCCTTTCACCCGCTTGGGGCGGGGCCGGCCACTCCAGGAGATAAGACTACACTTCCCGGCGCGCCTCGCGGCCAGGGCGAACGAGGAGCCGGAAGTGGGCCGCGCGAGGTCTAAGGGCACGAGGGAAGTGGCGGGCGGGGACTCAGGGGGGCGTGCAGGTGAGCCGACTGGCAGGGGTTTGCCGGCATGGCTGAGGCCAGGAAGCGGCGGGAGCTTCTTCCCCTGATCTACCAGCATCTGCTACAGGCGGGCTACGTGCGCGCGGCGCGGGAAGTGAAGGAGCAGAGTGGCCAGGTGAGCGTGCGCGGGCCGTGTGCGAGGGCCGCGTGCTAGATCTGGAGAGGTGCTGCCTGCGCCCCCTCCCGTGGCGGCCTGGCGTGCGCCCAGAACCGGACTCTGCGGTGGCCCGGGAAGCGACCAGGGGTACCGAAGGAGCCGCAGCCTCTGCACACTTCGGCTCCCTGTCGCTCTGGGCCTCAGTTTCCCGAGCTGTGTAGTGGGCGGGCCGGGATGGGAGATCCGACGCGGAGGGCTTTGTAATTCCCGCGCCCCTTACCTCCACCCCTTCCTGGTAGCGGCGGTTTAAAGTTTCCGAAGTCTCTGGCCACGTGGCTCCGCGGGCCGGGAAGGTTGCTGAGAGCCTGAGGGGTGGATTGCGACCAGCCCCCAGGGGAGGGTGAGGAGGCGAAAGAGGGAACCGAGGCGAAGGGGCTTGTGGCCCCTTAGTTGAGCTGAAGCTCGGGCCCTTATCCGTCCCGTATGGAGTCGGGCAGCTTTGGGATTCGAGCTTGTGGTGGAGTCATTGCACACTTCATTCATTCTTTTCAGCAAGTCCTGAACTAGCGCTCAGGGTGCTGATGATAGAGTGTTGAGCACAGTCCCCCGGCCCTACTAGAGTTTACGGTCTAAATCCAGTAGGGGAGGTAGACATAAAGAATCGCAAAAGTAACTGTACACTTAACACATTAAGTGCCAAGAATGAGAGGCGTAGGGCGATAAGACAGGGATGGCAAGTTAGTTGCCTGGGTCAGGGACACCCAGGACAGCTTTCCTGAGGAAATGGATGTTGATTTGAGACCTGAGAGAAGAGAGGTGGATATTCAGGCAGAGGGGCACATGCCCTGTGGTGGGAGGAAACTCGTTGCATTTGTACTGGCCTCTGGAAATTCCATCGTGGCTGAAGGGTGGAGTACAGGGTGACGGGGGCGCTGGCTGGAGCCCCACGGTAGTCTGGTCTTCATCTGAAGAACAGTGGTAAGCCACTGGAGAGTTTTAAATCGGTAAGGTGGATATTGACCTGATTAGTCAGCCCTCTGGCTGTGGTGTAGGCTCTGGTCGTGATGCTTGTTCCCAGGATCTGCATAGTCTAAAGGGTGATGGGCCCTAAGACATGATCCAAGCTTTTCCCAACCCTCTCCGGACCTTGACTGCCTTGGGCAAGAAACATTACCCGTCTTCATTGGGGCATTTGCCGAGGCAAAAGTATCCTGTCCTCATGGAGCTTACATCACAGCAGGGGCAGACAGATGACAAATCTTTAAAAACAAAAACAAAAAAAACTAAAGATACCGTGTGTCAGGTGATCATATGAGCCATAAAAATAAGGCAGGCAAGGAGGATAAGGAATGTCAGGGTTCAGTTATAAATAGGGTGATCAGGAAGCCCCACTGAGAAGGTGACATTTGGGCAGAGACCTGAAGGAAGTGAGGGAGTGAGCTGTGTGGTTAGCAGGAGAGAGCATTCTAGACAGAATAGCAAGCCTGGATGGGGCCGGTGGCCTGACACATTTGAGGGACAGTGAGGAGGCCAGAGTGCCTGGGGCAGAGCAGGGTAAAACGGACTATTGGAGTCTGTTATCAGCTCATGTGCTGGGCACTGACTAGAATATCTTGTTCAGGCCCGACAGCACCCTGGGTGCTGCTCTTATCCCTGTGTTAGAAAGAAGGAGCCTGAAGTGTGAAGAGGTGAAGAGATGAGCTCAGCCAGTTAACACAGGAGCTCTGCCTGATTCCAGATGTACCCTCTTGGCCACTCTGCCCACGTCCCTGACACTGCTGTCACCTTACGTTGCTTTACTCAACCTCCCTGGGGCGCTTGACACCCTCGGTTCTTGACATTTGCAGAGTGGGCCATCTGGCCTCGGCCCCAAAGGGCTGGATTCCACCCGCTTCCCTCTGCATCTGTCAAGGGACTGGCCCCGTTTGGTTTAGTCTCTTCCCAGCGGATGAGTGGACTGCGGTCATGCCACCTGGACGCCTTGGATGTCTGGGCTGTGGTTCGTACTGCCCTGGGACGATTGACCCACCTGACCTTTAAAAGACTTTAGAAAGGTCAGGGGTAGAAAAAGCCCTGTCTTGTGGCCTCTGAGCGTGGTGGGTGTCAGGGAGCTGGATAATGCTAGCCTGGCACATTCCAACTCCAGGTTCTCAAAGGTACCCCTCACTAATGTGTTGTCTTAAAAGGTCTTGGCTGGAAGGACTTGCCCTGCTTGTCTCTGGAAGGTTTGAGCGGCACTGACGGGGCCAAGCAGACATATTTCCCTGAGCAAAAAGTCTCCCATGAGGCTGTGGAGAGTTGGCCCCAAAGAGGACCCTTATTGTGCCGGGGGGTTAATTGCTGCTTTCTCTTTACTTCTCTGCAGAAAAGTTTCCTGGCTCAGCCTGTAACCCTTCTGGACATCTATACTCACTGGCAACAGTAAGTCCGACGGGGCCTCAAGAGTGGAGTAGGGACAGCCCAAGCTGTCAGCTTGAAATAAGCTAGGATGCTAATCTGGTCTGCAGTCTGCCTCCATAGCCCAGTGTGGACACCAGTGTTGCCCCCAGGAAGCCAGGTCGCACACGGGGGGTGCCCGATAGGGAGAAAGGACGTTGGGAGCCGTAATCAGTGCTCTTAAGGACCAGAGCTTCTCGGCCGCTTGTTACTCATCCAGTCAACAAACACGTATTGAGTACCTACCTCCTAAATGCTGGGTCCTGCCCTAAGTATGGAGACACTGTCATGAGTGAGACAGACATGGTTCCTTCTTTCCTGGAGCTGATATTGGAGTCAGGGAGGTAGGCATGCCTCAACGAATGAAAGAAAGAAATGTAAAATTAAAATGATGGTAAAGCTTATGAAGAGGACTTGGTGCCAAAACCAGGTTAGCCTAGCCTCATTTAGGGGTTTAAGGAAGGTTTCCCTGTGGTGACCTTTGATTTGAGAGCTGCGGGGAGCGGGGAGTAAACCAGTGAGTAGTAGGTCTCATGAGGCAGGAGTTCACCTGGCATTGAGAACTGTGGGTGCCGAAGCCTATAGCTGCAGCCACAGGACGGGTAAGGCCGGGCAGTTGGTGGGGCCCACCTCACTCCGGATCTGAACGTCTGTGGTGAGGAGCTGTGTCTTTGCCCCAAGAGCAGCGGGAGCCCCGAAAGGGGGGAGTAGAGAGCAGCGAGGTCACTGCAGGACAGCTTGGCTAGTCGGGGTGTGGACACCATCATCCAGGCAACAGCTTGTGGCGCTTAGACAGGAATAATGGGGTAGACAGTCAGCCGATTCCAGGAATATTAGGGGGTGAGACTGGGAGCTGGGGATGGTCTAGAGGGGCAGTCTCGTTGACTCCCAGGTGCCTGGCTTGTGCACCTGCATGGAAGGTGGGCCTGAGTGTGGAGCTGGGAAGCGAATGCAATTGGAGGGAAAGATTTCAAGGACCTGTTGAGTGCGAAATGTCAGAAACGTGCAGAAAGAAGGAAGGGGTGATAATCCAAGGGCATATCAACAAAGGAATGGTTTGGGAGGGAGGGAGGGGATAATCATTGTCTCCACAAAGTGGCCTGACCCACAGTCAACCAGGGAAGTGAAGGGCCTGCAATCATGCCCCATGGGGAATGATTGGAAAATACTGAGTTGTCCAGGGTGGAAAAGAGCAAAGGGGCAGGTGATGTGTCTGCACATCTTTGAGGACAAAGGGAGTGGGGCGTTCTCTGGGGCTCTGCGAGGCTGAAGTAGGACCCATATGTACCGTTTTAGGGAGACAGGTTTCAATTTCTGAATAGAAGCACTTGGTCATCAGAGCTGTCCAGAAATGAGATAGGCTATGGTTCCCTATCATCAGAGGTGTGTAAGGAAAGGCAAGAATGTGTGGAAGAGATCGCAGCTTCCAGTGGAGAGCTAAGGTCTTTGAAAGTCCTGTCAGCTCTCAGTTCTTGGCTTTCCTCTGCTGCTAAGGTAAGGTCAGAGCATAGGGCCCACCCTGCACTTCCTCTCCATCACTGCCTCCAACTTGCCCAGGTGTCTGGGTATGACAGCACTTCCTTCCTTAGAGAAATGCCTCAGTGAGCCCTTCCTTGTCACTGGCCCCTTCTGTGGGTGAGGGGTACTAACAAGAACGAGGACCTCACACCCACCAGAGGTGGCCTCGCCTGATGGTTCCCAGCAAAGTTCAAACCCAACAACTAGCTGTGTGAGCTTGAGCAGACTTGGCTTCCTTGAGTCTGTATGTTCATCTTTATCTGTAAAATATAATAATAGTAAATCAGGGGGCATCTGGGTGGCTCAGTCAGTCAGGCATCTGACTTTGGATCTCATCTCAGGTCTTGATTCTGAAGTTCAAAGGTCGTGAGTTCAAGCCTAGTGTTGGGTTTTGCGCTGGACTTGAAGCCTATTTAAAAACATAAGTAAATAAAATAAAATAAAATGGTAGTAAATCAGGTGCTAAACCTGACCATCAGAGGCATTTGTCCCGTAGGTATTTATTGAGCAGCTACTATGCATCAGAACTGTTCTTGATATATCTGGAAACAACCAGAGAGAAATCCCTGCCCTTGTGAAACATTCTGTTGGGAGGAGGGAGAGCGGCAGAATGAATTGATAAGTGTAATAAATGAAACCTGTTTTTCAGGGGGGATTCCCAACAAGTGGCCTTCCTGGGAACAAGGGACCCACATCCCAAACTTTGGTAGAGCATGTCTATCCCAGCTGGAGAACATGGGACATAGACAGTGATTCCCTTGGGATGGGAGGGTGAGGTCACAGGAGCTGGTACTTGAAAGTTCCAGGGACTGAGCCATCTGGGTGCTTGTCCTGCCGATGCCCAAAACTTACTCTTTGACCCTGAGCAAGTCACTGAGTCGTTCATTTTTTGAGATGTGTGCTATGTGCTGAAGATACTTAACGAGCTAGCAGAGGTTCCTGCCAGCCCCTCCCCCCGCCCCGGGTTTGACCTTGTAGTGAGGGAGTCAGGCAGGAAGTAAGTAGAATAACAGGAGAGAGAAAAGTGCTCTGAAGAAAATGAAACAGGATGACAGAGCGGAGAATGTCAGGGGGAGGGGAATCATGATCAGGGAGGGGCTTTGAAAGAAGCTGTATTGGAGCTGAGGCCTAAGGGACAAGAAGGAGCAGGGCTTCCAGAAAGAGGGCACGATAGGTGCTCTAAGTTCTGGAGGAGGGAGAACCCAGATGATTCTATGAACAGCCCGCAGGTGCTGGCACATACCAGTCAGTGATGGTTAGCTGCTGTGACTATGCAATGTCACCAGCCCTTACTGATTATTTTGGAGACTAATAGTTGTAAAACCAGTGTATGAAATGGGTGAAAAGGCAGAATACAAGTGTATCTACGCTGTTTTCAAACTCTGTGCGCATTTCCTGGCAGGGGTTGGGGGTGGGGGGCGGGGGGTGTCTTTCTTGTCAAATCTCCTGGCCTTGCCCTTGTCACCTGGTTGGTACATCCAGTCACCCTTGTCCTGCAGGACGTCAGAGGTTGGCCAGAAGCGGAAGGCAGAGGAAGATGCAGCGCTGCAGGCTAAGAAGACCCGTGTGTCCGACCCCATTAGCAGCTCAGAGAGCTCAGAAGAGGAGGAGGAGGCAGAGGCCGGGACCGCCAAAGCCAGTACGAGTCCCGCGCCCCGGGGGAGCCTCGGTCATTGGTGTTAGTGGGAGCTCAGCCCAGGGCCCTGCAGCTCTGGGGAACAGGCTTTTGGATATTGGGTTGTTCCAGGGGAGAGTCCACCTCCAGGTTCCCCTCCAGCGGGCCCTGGGAAGACCAGGACCTTCTAGAGAGAAGGCTGGAGGGCCCCACATATCTACTGCGGTATTTATTTGAACCCTTTCTCGTGGCAGACGTTGTGTCCGAGGTACTGGGAATCCAGTGGTGAACAAAAACTTAGCTGGGCCCTTACAGCCTAATTTGGGGTACAACAGCTACATTTTTACAAGCCCCCAGGTGATTCTGACAGGTGGAAAGAAGCCTGCGTTTGTAGAAAAACTGCTGGAAATATTGCAGAGAGGGCAGTTGGCAGGCACCTTTTCTGCGTCACCTGTGGCTGCTGGGGGAGCGGCTGGCTTTCCTCTTGTTTTGGACGTGTGCAGGTTAGCCCTGGAAGGCTGTCCCGGGCACTCTGGTTTCCGAGCATTGGCAGGGTTGACCCCGTGAGGCCTTCACAGCCCCTTCTCCCCAAGTCCTCCCGACAGTTTGTGTTTTAACCAACAGACTTTTGACTCCACAGAGGAATCATCCTTTTTCTCTGCAAGGTTATTAGCTTTTGCTTACATAGAAGGTGATTTCTTGATTCTTAAATGTATTTTCTGATTGTAAAGGAAATACAGGATTCATTATGGATATGCAAATTACTTGTTAAAAAGGCAGGAAAAAAGAATTACCCACGTTCTTGCCACCTACGATTTGGCAAATTATTCTTCCATTTATTTTTCCTGAGCATGTTTTTAAAAATATTCAAGATCATATTAAATACATATCTTATATCTTCATCTTTTAAAATCATAAATGCAAAACAAGTCCACTTTGAACTATATGTAAGCATATGGAAGAAAAATGAGAGGTTTTCTATTCTACCCTGGATGGGTCCCTTTCACCCCCTGAATGCATCCTGGTGGGTAGCTTTAAAACTGTCCCCTGCGCATCTAGTCATACAGATAGCCATGCATACGTGCGTGTCCACACCAACGCACTATGTAAAAGCAAAAATTGTTCAATTTCATACTGACTGTTATTTGATCTTAATGGATTTTTATCTCATGAATTTTTTCTATGATAAGGGAATCGTTGCAAGAAACACGCTGAAATGTTTCTGGGCAACATGATACGATGTCTGGCATTTTTTTTTTCAGAATAGTACTTGATGGGGAAGGGTACTGGAGAGGCCGGTTGACATCACACAGGCCACAAGCTGGTAATGGTTGGGACTGTGTGGTTCGCTGTACTTCCTCTCTACTTACAGATGTGTCTAAAAAAGAGAGGGAGATGGAGTTAAATGCCAGGAAGAGAGTCAGACCATGCCATTCATCTCAGCAGTGTCCCATGTCACAGCATACCCTAGAAATCTTACCCTGTCTGACATTTGGGGAGACAAGTTTCCTGCTGGAAGATCACCCAGAATCTGTAGGTCTCAACATCTCACCAGTTCCCGGTCTCATAGTTCAGCTCCTTTTCCCAGTACAAACTGTTGAAATCCCGAGCAGCTTTCTCTGTGGACCAGGGGCTGGCTGCCTGACTGCTGCCGCTGTCCTGCTGAGTGACTCTCGGGGCCGCAGCGTGGTAGCCTGTGGGGATGGCCCACCCTGAATTCATGTGGTGCCTTCGAGGGGGTCTGCAGCGGCACTGTGGGCCAGCGCTTCCTTTTCTGGGGTCTTCAGTGTCTCGTGCCATCAGGGAGTTGGGGCTCCATGGGGGATGCACACCCGTGGCTTTTGTGTTGCCCCGCTCTCCCGCTCCTGGTGGATGTGGCTCGTGCACCCCAGAGCTCTTTCCCACAAGTCTGGGCTCAGTCTCAGATGCTCAGGCACAGCCATACCAATTGAATCGTTAGGTGAGCTGAAACCTGTTGGCTGTTCTTAAATGAGAAAAAAAAGCTCATCTGGTTCACGCAGCGGGTGTCTGTGTCTTGCAGCCCCAAGACTGGCGCCCACCAACTCCTCGGTTCCGGGGGCAGTTGTGCCATCAGGCACGAAAGAAAAAGCCAGGGTGAGTAGGACCACCTCCAAGCTGTCGTCCTTTGGGAGTTACGTGCCCTGTAGGGGGACAGTCCCCTGTGTCAGAGAAGGATAGGGTTGTGAGCAGTTACCCAACCTGGATTCAGTTCTGGGCCTTTATCACCAGCTGTGTGATCCTGGTGACTCCTTTACCTCTCTGGGCCTCAGTTTCCTTTTCTGTAAAATGGAGGTGATGCCCCACTGCTTTGGGCCGCTGGGCACATCATGCACCTGTAACAATTTCTTTCCTCCTTCATCCGTGCATTCACCTGTTCAGCCAATGGCCTGTTACTGATCCAGTTACTTTCCAGGGACCGTGGGAGGCAGTGGGGGCACCACAGTGAGTAAGACGCCTGTGGGTCTGAAAGCTGGAAAACCATTTTCTAGACTGCAGCTCCTGAGAAGGTAGAATACCGTTGCTGGTAGTCCACAAAGCAGCGTCACAGACGTGTAAAGCACACGTCCCTGAGATACCTGGAGCGCCAACTACAGCATGAGGTAGTGAGGACGGCCGCAGCAGGCTGCCAGTTATCGCTTAGCCAGTAACTCCTGGGTCCCAAGAGCTGTAATTTGGTTTTCTCCGTGCCTCTGTGAGGGGAGGTACCGTTCTCAGCCCCATCTTAAAGGTGAAGAAACAGACCAAGGGAGGTAATCTGTCCGAACTCCTACGCCTGGGAAGCGGTCTGTGCTGGTCATTCACCAGGCCACACCCAGCGTGTCTGTCACCCCCGTCCTTTGTAGGCAAAGACCAAGAAGGCCGGCAAGGTGGTGAACTCCACACCGCATCCTGCGGCTGGGAAGGCGGTGGCCCACCTTCTGTCTGGAAGGTCACCTAAGAAGTCAGCAGGGCCTTCAGCGAGTACCATCCTGGCCTCAGAAACTGAGGAGGAGGGCAGTGTCCAGGCCCCCAGAACCACGGCCAAGCCTGGTGAGCTTCCCCAACTTGTAGACGCCAAGCCCCCTGAGTTTGGGCTGGGGAGGCAGGCCCGGCACTGCTTTGTCAAGCTCTGGGACATTCTGGAATTTAGAGGTCTGTCTCCATGGCAGTAAGGTCCCGTGGCGCCCCAATAAGGGAGGGTCTGCTGCAGGGACATGTCAGGCTTTGCTAAGAGAGTTTGAGCAGCCCAGGTGATGGTGGAGCATTTTCTGGTTTATTGCTCTCAGCTGGGTACAGGGCCCACTGCGGAGGCTGAGGCTAAACCGAGGCCTGGGTTCGCTCCAGTTTCTCGTGTGAAATAGGCGTTTGCCCTGCCTGCCTCAGTGTGATGATGGAAGGAGATGCCCGGACTAGCAGACGGTGGCTTGTGTGTGGTAGGACCTAGCATGAGCCTTCCCGGGGTCACAGAGGTGTGGGCAACACAAGCCTACGAGTGGCACGTGCCTCAGCTGTGGGGCTTCAAGGTAGGTGGGGCTGAAGGTCCGCACTCGGGAAGCGAGCACAGGCACCTGCGTCTCATTTCCTTGCCTGGCAGAGAGCCGGGGAGGGGAGTCCGGAAGGGCAGGCCCTCAGTCCTCTCCTGCTTCGTCCCCCAGGAATGGCATCGGCCAGCCAGGCTGACAGCTCCAGTGAGGAGACCTCCACCTCGAGCGATGAGACATATGTGGAGGTAATTGCCACCCGTCCTCAGGAGCTGCCTCTGCAAACCTCTAACCCTCCCAGGGGCCTGGCCGGGGCTTCGCACACCAGCGGGGCCAAATCAACCGAGCAAGTGTTTCAGGGTGACCGGGAGCTGGGAAGGCTGAGGCCTGGGGAGCAGAGCCAGATGCTGTCGTCACACCGCAGGTGTGAAAAAGGTCTAGGGTTGTGGGGGAGAGACGCCGTCCAGCCTGTGAGACCAGGGAAGGCTTCCTGGGAGGGGTGGCACTGGAGCAGGGCCTTGACGCACAGGGGATTCTCCAGGAAGGGATGTGGGGGCAGGGTTCAAGCAGAAAGAGCTGCATGAGCCCAGGGGCAGGCGGGTGGCCGTCCTGCGGTGTGGTCCGGGTGAGTTGGGCGAGGCTGCTGAGTGGTTCTGGGTGGATGCCAGGCCTGGGCGCTTGGTCAGAGACGGTCAGGTCTTGGTCTGTGGCCTCATCTCTGCTCTGAACTGTGACCCGGAAGTCCTTCCTTATTGTGCAGCCGGGCCTTGGGAATCTAGTGGCAGCACGAGGTGCATGATTGCTGCTGCTATGGAGACGTGGGAGGTGGGGGGGTCCCTCAGAAGTCTGACCGCAGTGCTCATGGTTACTATAAAGGGAGAATGTAGAGAGCCCTGAGGGGCCCTAACAAGAATGTGAATGATGGGAAAGTGCCTTAATTAAGAGGAGATCAGAGGTAGGCAGGGGCTACATCCCTGGGGTGCCTGGAGTACTTCTCACCTCCTGCCTCACCCAGTAACCTGTGAAGGTGGAGACCTTCCTCCCATCTACCCAAGGCCTCTTCTCTTCCCACGTCCATCCCCACTTTCAGGCGCTGGGTACAGCCATAAGAGCACCCAGGCTCCCGTTCCTACTTGGCCCCGGGAAACCAGCAGCCAAACACACAGCCTTGGGGGGCCAGAGGCCAGCACAGGGCCCTGGCAGCAGCGAGGAGTTTGCGATTGAGGAGATGGCTGCCCCAGAAACCCAGGGTCAGGTGAAATCTACCTGATGACAGATGTGGAGGTAGGGCACTGCCTGCCTTAGGAACGTCAGAATTTTAGAAGTCTAAGAAAGAGCCCATGGAGGAAAGGAATGTGCCCAGGGTACCTCGGCAAGACTGGCATTCAGATCCTGGCCTCCCAGCCCCTGGGAAGGCCGTCATGATCGGATACCCCTGTAGTTGAAGGGGCAGATAGGGTGGGCCTTCTGGTTGAGAGAGGCTGCCCCTGTGTGCCAGGCAGCAGGGGAGCATAGTGGATGGGAGTTCTGCCCCCAGGGCGACACAGACATGGGTTCTAGTCGTGACTTTGCCCTTAGTATTGGTCTTGAGTGACTTAACCTCCCTGAGCTTCTTGTCCCTCTCTGGAAAATGGGTGTAAAGATAGCATGTGACTCAGAGTTCTTTGAGAATTGGATGATGTTAGGAAAGGGGATTGTAAACCATGAAGTCTCTCATAGCCCTCAGAGGCAAAGATTATTATTTCTTCTCTAATTGCATCCTCTTGTTCCAGGTGAAACCTTCAGTAAAACCACCCCAGGTCAAAACCTCACCAGCCCCTGCCAAGGACTCCCTAGGGAGAGGGGCAGCCCCAACCCCTGGGAAGGCAGGGGATGTGACACCCCAAGTCAGAGGAGGTGCCCTGACCCTAGCCAGCAAGGCCAAGAAGCCAGAGGAGGACTCGGAGAGCAGTGAGGAGTCGTCTGAGAGTGAGGAGGGGGCCCCTTTGGAGCCGCCCCACCAGGTGAGTCCTGGGGGCAGACCACTCCTCGGCGTCCTCAGGTCCCCCGGAGGCTGCCGAATGGCTATATAAGGAGCACCTGGTCTCCTCTGCCAGCTAAGACTGACCTTGGGGTTTGGGGAGCAGGTGGTGGGGGTATGAAAATGAAGGACAAGGGCAGCTGGGCTTGTCAGTCCCCTATGGAAATTGCCTTCTTGTGTGAACCGCAGCCTGGAAGAGCTACTTCCCACAGGGTGGCCTTGCACCCTCCTCTCTGTCAGCAACTCCCCTTTACCTCAGTTTCCCTGTCTCGAGAATGGGATATGGCCAGCCGGTCCTATTGTGAAGGGACTTAAGTTTTAATTGCCTAGTCCTCTGGCTTCTTCGGCCAAATCATGGCTTCTTAGCTAACAGGAATCTTTACCTTCCATCTGCCGGGACCCACTCCTCTGGGCTGGGTGGCCAAGACTCTGGGTGCATCTGAAGGGAAAGCAGAGGGGCTGGGAAGCTGTTGGAGTCGGAGAGCCAGGAGGAGGAAGCATCAGACAGTGGTGGTAAAAGGCCCCGAAGCTGGCCCGGTGAGGCCCAGGAGTGGAGGTCCCAGCCCAGGGCCGGATGGTAAAGGAGAGATACAATAAGTAAAATAAAGTTCATCTTGCTGGGTGGTAATGAGGAAGGTAAGGGGGCAGGGGGCGGGCTGTAGGAATGGTCATTAAAACAGCGGCTTAGGGAAGGCCTTACAGAGACGTTGCGGGCCTGAAGGAGCAGGGCGGGGGTGTGTGCCACGTGGACATCTGGACAACGGTCGTTCTGCTGGGGAGCACGGCAAGTGCCCGGGCCCTGATGTGGCAGTGGGAGAGAGAATTGTGACCCGGAGTACAGTGGTCGACCACGCCAGCCGTGGAGCCTGTGCTCTCAGGGCTCGCCCGCTGACGGGAGCCCAGCCGAGGGAGCCTCTCTCTGATGCCTGTGTGTGGGTGACTCCGGGAGCGATGCAGGGGTGTCGGGGAGAACTGCCACGAGGAACTGGTGTGTATCTCGGACCTAGAGGAGGAGGCAGCGGTGGCCAAGTGAGCTGGGCAAGGCTGCGAAGGCCCCGGGAGTGAGAGAGAAGCTGTCGGGCTGGGCCTGAGCCCCGGTCCAGGTGGAGAGTGAGAAGCACAGGGGGCTCTCGTGAGCCCCAGCTAAGGCCTAGGCTTCGTCCTGATGGCACACTGGAGGGTGAGGAGGGCAACAAAACCTCCCTTTGTCTCTTACTAGGCAAAGGCCTCGGAGAAAATTGTCCAGACCAGGGCCGCCTCGGGCCCCATTAAGGGGACCCCTGGGAAAGGGGCCACCCCAGCACCCCCTGGGAGGACAGGGCCTGCAGCTGCCCGGGCCAAGTCAGGGAAGCCAGAGGAGGATTCAGAGAGTAGCAGTGAGGAGGAGTCTGACAGCGAGGAGGAGCCGCCAGCTGCCAAGACGCCACTTCAGGTGAGGCCTGGGGAGGGAGAGTCCATGAAGCCGTGCCCCTCCGCAGGAGGCCTTCTGAGGACCGGTTCCACTCTCTGTCTGCCAGGGCCCTAGACACGCTTGGAGCCCTACCCCTTCTCCCCTGCGGTGTGCGTGGCGTCCTTTGCCCTGTCCGGCCTCTTGTGTCTCCTCACGTCCACCCTTGTGCTCCCTCCCGATTCTGCTTGTCTCCCTCCAGGTGAAGCCTTCAGGGAAGACCCCCCAGGTCAAAGCTGCCGCAGCCTCTGCCAAGGAGTCCCCTAGGAAAGGGGCCCCTCCAGTGCCCCCTGGCAAGGCAGGGCCTACAGCTGCCCAGGTGCAGGTGGGGAAGGGGAAGGGGAAGGGGGAAGAAGACCCAGAGAGCAGCACTGAGGAGTCCGACAGCGAGGGGGAGGCGCCAGCAGCCGTGCCCCTAGCCACGAGCCCTGTTCAGGTGAGGCTACAGGACGCCCCGCAACGGTGCGGTCTGCCCGGTTCTGGAGAGCCTGTCTGTTGGCTTGTCCTCCCCTTCCACACCTTGGGTCCCGTGCCCTGCATTTGCTCTCCTCACCTGGTCTTCCCTCACGGCTAGTCTCCTGTGGGCTCCTGCCCTGATCCTGTCTTTTGCTACTCCAGGCAAAGCCCTTGGGGCAAAACTCCCAGGTCAGAGCAGCCTCCGGTCCCGTGAAGGGGCCCCCTCAGAAGGCAGGGCCTGCAGCCACCCAAGCAGGGAAGCAGGAGGAGGACTCAGGGAGCAGCAGCGAGGAGGAGTCAGACAGCGAGGGGGAGGCGCCGGCCCAGGTGAGGCTCCTGCCTGTAAGTTTCTTCCTTCCCCCTCAGTGTCAGGAGCCCCCACACCCACACGCTGACTCTGTTTGCCCTCTTGGTTTCTGGTGTCTCTGCACACAGCCATACTTTGTGCTCCCTCCCCTGATCTGTGTGTCACTCTCTGCAGGCAAAGTCCTCGGGGAAGATCATCCAGGTCACAGCTGCCTCACGTCCTGCCACGGGGCCCCCTCAGAAGGCAGGGCCTGCAGCCACCCAGGGCAAGGCCGAAAAGTGCAAGGACGAGTCAGAGAGCAGTGAGGAGGAGTCAGACAGTGAAGAGGAGGCGCCTGCAGCCGTGGCTCCAGCCCAGGTGGGCCCGGGAGGGGCTGCCCCACGGCCTGACCTGAGCCACTGGCACCCGTCGGCTCCCCGGGGAGCTGTGGGGAGGCATGGCAGCGGGGCTCCACCCCAGAACAGATGGGGGCTCTGAGCTCAGGCTCCTTCTTTAGCTTCTGACTTCTTCCTCTCAGGCAAAACCAGCTATGAAAACACCCCAGACCCAGGCCCCTCCAAAGAAGGGCACCCCCGTTACCCCTGCACCTGCCAAGGTTCCCCCGGTGCGAGTGGGCACGCCAGCCCCTTGGAAGGCAGAAGCTGCATCCTCTCCAGCCTGCGCCTCATCCCCAGCTCTGGCCAGGGGCGCCCAGAGGCCCGAGGCCTCTTCAAGCAGTGAGGAGTCGGAGAGTGAGGAGGAGACCACTCCTGCCCCACCAGCAGGACAGGTGAGGCCAAGTTGGTCTGGCAGATTCGGGGCTAGTCCTCTCGTCGCCCTTTGACCTCCTGAGATATGTGTCTCGTCCTTGTAATTCCAGGCAAAGTCTGCGGGTAAAAGCGTCCCGGTGAAAGCTGCCTCTGCACCCACCAAGGGGTCCTCGGGCCAAGGGGCTGTCCCAGTACCCGCTGGGAAGGCAGGGCCTGCAATGGCCCCGGCTAAAGCTGAGGTGCAGGAAGATTCAGAGAGCAGTGAGGAGGAATCAGACAGTGAGGAGGTGACTGCAGCCCCAGCCCAGGTGAGGCCTGGGAAGAGCCAGCCCATCCCGCCCACACCAGGGCCCGGGGCAGGGCTGAGGAGGGGCTTTTCTGGGCTGGGCTTGCCCCTGGCTGTGCAGAAGCCTCGAGGGCAGCCTCAACTCAGCCTGGTTCCCCACTTTTCACTCGGTCTCCTCCCCTGTCAGAGGTGTAGTCTCCCCCGTGGCCTTCTCAGCTCCCATTGAGACTCCTTATGCCACCCGCAAGCTCTGCGGAGCGCTCCTCTGCCTGGTGCTGCCCTGTCTCCCTCAGGGAGTTCCCAGTCTAGGTGGGGGCGTGGATGTGCACACAGGCTAGTCCAGCATAATGTGATAAGGTGGAAAATAGATCAGTACCTGGGTTACAGCACTGCAGGTGGTAGCGTCTCGGGGTTTCCCCAGAGGGAAGGCCTCCTGGAGGAAGTGGCATTGGAATTGTAGGCTTGAAAGATCTGGCCAGGGGAAATGCAGTGTTCCAGGCAAAGAAGCCTGGCCTGAGGGAGCTGCCCCGAGCAGAGCGTTTTGGTGGGATCACTGGGGGAAATGATGCAGTGGCAGACAGAGCAGGGGGCTTGGAGCCAGACTGCCTGGGTTCAAGTCCTGGCCCCATTTCCTACCAATTGATTCCTACCTATCAGGGCCTTTATTGACTCTTCTGTAAATTGGAAATTAGCTGTCACAGGGTTGAGAATTTAATGAGATCTCACGTACCGTACCCAGCAAGGGCCCTGTGCACACAGCAAGCTCACTCCTCTGCCTCCCTGAGGGTGGGCCAGGCTGATGGGGAACAGAATCAGGAGTCCCCTCCCAGCCTGGAAGAGTTGAGCTGGGAAAAGTGAAGATGGCTCACACCTCATGCTCACCCATGGTTTATTTGTAATTGTCGCTCTTTTTTTCCCCCCCAATAACCACTCACAAATTAGTCATTTCTATTTTCCCTGTACCAGAGCACGTGTTTTCTATGGGATTTTCTTTTGTCCCCCTCTCACAGTTGCCTTGTGGGACCCAGGGTCCTGTGATTCCCCTGTGATTTGACAGGTGCGTGTGGGCCCTGTTGGAGTCCCAGCCCAGCAGCTCTTGTCCCGTTTCCACGCTGCAGACACATTGCAGACCAACACCTGAAAAGTTTCACTGTGCCCATCGCCTAAGTATTTGTCTCCCCATCTGAACCTCCCACCAATACCATTAGATAGGTGTTCATTTGCTTTCGTTTCTGGAGGAGGAAATTAGAGCTTAGAAGAGTTGTTTGCTGACCAGCTTCAGCTCAGCAAGCCAATGAGGGTCAGCTGGGCCTGCGCCCCAGCGTGCCCGCCTCAGAAGCCTTTGCCTTTTATGCTTCCTCCTGCTACATTTTGGCCCAAACTTTTCCAACCACAGACATGATTATGTTGTGGGGCCTTACTTCCTCCCAAGGTGCAAAACAAAGCGGCTAATCCCTCTCTAGGGGCCCAGCCTTCTAGCCTGGTGCCCTGTCAGGAGATGGTGCCTTGCCTAATTTCAAGAGGCCTGAATTGCCCCCACTGAGACCGGCGGGTCTGATGGGAATCTTGTCTGGAGGATAAGGCTCATTAAGCCCCTGTTACGGGGTTAGGAGGATTAAATGAAATAATACTTGTGTGGCCTCACTCTCAAAATGCTGTCTGTACATACTAAGTGGGTTCCACACTGTTCAGTGTAGCTGGGGTCAGAAGTGAGACACGTAGTCGCTGGTCTGCTCAGAGACCTCACCCAGCTCAAAGGAAACCATCTATGTGAGAGCTGAGGTTCAAAATAATGTAACAAAGACAGGATTGGTTCTGGAACACCAGATGTGCCAAAGACCAAGGAAGGAGGTGATTCTTGGTTGAAATGCTATAGGAAGAGAGCCTTTGTGTGAGAAGGGTGGGAGAGCTGGTCAGTCAGAGTGTGAGGAATGGCTGCGTGAGTGGTAGAGTGCCTTTGGAGTCTGACCTTGCCTTGTATGTTGATCTTCCGTCCTGTGATGACGTTACATTTGCTTATCAATTTTCATGGCTTTTATAGATTCCCTAGGGTTTTTTTATATACAGATCTTGTTGTCTGAATAAGGACAGCTTCACTTTTTCCTCTTCAATCTAGATGGCTTTTATTTCTTTTTCTTGTCTTACTGCACTGGCTAGAACCTCCAGTACAATGGTGAATAGCAGTAGTGAGAGCAGACACCTTTGCCTTGTTTTTAATTTAGGGCACAGCACTCAGTCTTTCACTGTTTAATAGGATGTCAGCTATAAATTTTTCAAAGATTCCCTTAATCAGGATGAGAAAGTTCTTTTCTTTTTCTTTTTTTTAAAGATTTTATCTTTAAGTAATCTCTACACCCTCATGGGGCTCGAATCCATAACCCCGAGGTCAAGAGTCACATGTTCTACTGACCAAGCCAGCCAGGTGCCCCAAGCTCTTTTCTATTCCTAGTTTGTTGAGAGTTTTTATTAGTTGAATTTTTGTCAAATGCTTTTTTCTGGTGAAGTGATCTTACTGGTTTTTTCCTTTGTTCTATTAACGCAGTGTGTTACGCTTAGTTGGTTTTCAGGTGTTAAATCAACCTTTTGTTTTTGTGATAAATCCCACTTGGTCATGGTGTATACTCCTTTTTCTTGCCGGATTTGGTTTGCTCATCATTTGTTAAGGGTTTCTGTCTTTATATCCGTAAGGAATACTAGTCTGTAAATTTCATGTGATGTCTTAGCCTGGCTTTGGTATCGCCCTGATAACTGGCCTCAGAAAGTAAGTTGGGTGGTATTCTCTCCTTTGTTTTCTGAGGGTTTATGTTGGATTGGTATTATTTCTTCCTTAGTAGAATTCACCAATACAGCCATCTGGGCCTGTATTTTTTGTGTGTGGAAGATTTTTTGGTTTTTTAGTGTTTATTTTTGGGAGAGAGCATGCAAGCGGGGAAGAGGGGCAGAGAGAGCTGGAGACAGAGGATCCAAAGCCGGATCTTCGGTAACAGCAGCGAGCCCAGTGTGGGGCTCAAACTCAAGAACTGTGAGATCATGACCTGAGCCGAAGTTGGACGCTTAACCAACTGAGTCACCCAGGTGCCCTGAAGATTTTTAATTACTGAATCAATTTTGAAAATTGACTATCGGTCTATTCAGGTTTTCTTTCTTCTTGAGTCAGTTCTATTTTGTACCTTTTAGTGATTTTGTGCACAGTTAATAATTTCTGCCTTTCTAGAAACTTGTGTGTTTTCATCTCCATTGTCTAATTTGGTGGCATAAATTTGTTCATAATATTCCCTATAATTCTTTTTAATTTCCATAGCGTCTATAGTGATGTCCTGCCTTCTTCCTAATTTTCGGTAATTTGTGTTTTCTATTTCTTGGTCAGCCTAGCTAAAGACTTACCAATTTTGTTGTTCTTTTCAAAGAAACAACTTATGGTTCCATTGATTTATTTTGTGGTTTTTATTTCGTTAATTTCCACTCATATATATATATATATATGTGTGTGTATATATATATATGTATATATATGTACATGTATATGTATATTTTAAGAGAAAGTGGGGGGCAGGAGGGGCAGAGGGAGGAGAGAATCTTAAGAAGGCTCCATGCCCAGCAAGGAGGAGCCCGATACAGGCTTAATCTCACAACTGTGAGATCATGACTTGAGCTGAAATCGAGAGCTGGAGACTTAACCTCATCTGCTTTGATCTTTATTTTTATTACTCCTTCTTTTGGGTTTGATTTGCTCTTTCTTTCTAGCTTCTTAAGATGTGCATTTATTTTTGAGAGTGCACAAGCGAGAGAAGGACAGAGAGAGGGACAGAGGATCTGAAGCAGGCTCTGTGCTGACAGCAGCGAGCCCGATGTGGGGCTTGAACTCAGAAACCGTGAGTGAGATCATGACCTGAGCCAAAGTCGGAAGCTCAACCTACTGAGCCACCCAGGCACCCCAAGGTGGAATCTTTAATTGTTTATTGTAGCTCTTGTTTTTCTTTTCTCTTTTTCTTACTTTTTTAAAATTTATTTACGTATTTATTTTGAGAGAGCGCACACAAGAGGGTGGGGGGGCTGGTTAGGGAGAGAAAATCCTAAGCAGGCTAGTGGAACACACACATACCACCCCCCCACTCCCCACTGACATCATGAAGCCCTACACCCTACTCAGGACCCATCTCACAAAATGTGAGATCATGACCTCAGCAGAAAAAAGCAGTTGGAGGCCACCCGGCTCCTTCTCCTTTTTTTCTAATGTAAGTGTTTAATGCAGTGAATTTCCCTGTAAGGACTGCATTAACTTTATCCCATGAATTTTGAAATGTTGGGTTTTTTATTATTCTTTGACCCATGGGTTATTTAGAAGTGAGTTAACTTCCAAATATCTGGGACTATGCAGATTACTTTTTGAGGTTGATTTCTAATTTAATCCCATTGTGGCAGGAGAACATATTTGGTATGATTTCAGCCCTTTTAAGTTCACTGAGACTTGTTAGGTCAACTTTGTCCTGGTGTCTTTTGTTTTCTTAAATGTAGGTAAACACATTACTCCCCTCAGGATGACTTTTTGGTGCTGATGAGCACCTTGACCTTTATCAGACACAGTCTGTGCTCTAGAGGGTTTTCTTTCTTGAAGTCCTGATTCTTAATTTCACTTGGTCTTGTGTGGATGAGGGAAGCTGGGCTGTGGGGGATGTCACTGATTAGGTGGCCTCTCTGAATGAGGCAGGGGCCTAGACAGGCTGTCAAATTCCTCATTCTACTTTACATCAGCAGGCTTTGCTTTCATACTCTTATCAACAATCTCACAGTCAGAGATTTTATTCTTTGTTGCTCTCATCTCTCTAGTCTGTGTTTGCTTGGATACCCCAACAGGCTTTTGGGGGATCACCTGGATAGCCGCTAAGATTAGGTGAAATGGAAGAAACAACAGTGGTTTTCTATCTTGTTCTGCCATGCTGAGTGTCGGCTCCCTCCTCATAGACTAAGATGGCTGCTTGAGCTCCAGCTGTTACCTCAGCATTTCTTCCAGTTGGGAGGAAGAAGACACATGTTTTTTTGCATGTGTAAGGACGTCGAATCGTGTACTCAACTTCCATTCTGTTAGCCAGAAGTTAAATTCATGGCTGCCCAGCTGAAAAGGGGCCTGGAAAACACCTGTGCTCTGGGTAGGCTTGTACTTAGCTAACATTAAGAAAAGTGCTCACGATAATAAGTTTACAGGAGTGCTTATTATGTGCCAGGCACCATGTTAAACATTATGAATCTGTCATTTAATCCTCATAATAACCCTGTGGGTGGGCCTTGTTATGACCTCCATTTTACAGAGGGGGAAACTGAGGCCCAGTGAGGTCAATGATTTGCCCAGCTTCACACGGCCATTAAATGGAGGAACAAGAATCCAAGTTCGGGCCTCTGACTCCAGAATCCGTGTTCTTGGCTAACCACCCTGCTGCACCTCACCTTGTCCGTTCTGTCATCCCTGTTTCTCCTTCCAGGTGAAGACCTCAGCGAAAACCCCACAGACCAAAGCCAACCCAGCTTCCACCAGAACAGCTTCAGCCAAAGGGGCAGCGTCTGCTCCCGGAAAAGTGGCCACTGCAGCAGCTCAAGCCAAACAGGAGTCCCCGGCCAAGGCAAGGGGGACCAGAAGCCCCGGGAGGTGCCAGAGGTGGGGTGGAGAGGAGGACCAAGCAGTTGCCTCCTCCTGGACAAGGGCCCTGCGCGGGCAGAAGGGACTTCCATACGGTCACATCGTGGGTGGGGCTTAATCGAAGTGGAACCCTGTTGTCGACTTCCTTCCCCAATACACTTACCTCTTCACGATTCAGGTAAAGCCAACAGCAAGAACCCCCCAGAGCAATGCTGTCTCAGTGAGGGGCCAGGGGTCTGTGGCAGCTCTGGGGAAAGCAGTGGCCACGGCAGCCAAGGCCCAGCCGGGGCCAGTCGGGGGCCCACAGGAGGGCTCAGAGAGCAGCGAAGAGGAGTCAGACAGTGACGGGGGAGCCCCCGCTCAGGTGAGGCCCGCGGAGGACCGAGAGCAGCCCCGTGCTGTCCCTTTCACTCCCTCCCCTGACTGTTTCTCTCACTCCAGGCGAAGCCCTCGGGGAAGACCCCCCAGGTCAGAACTGCCTCAGCCCCTGGCAAGGGGTTCGCCAGGAAAGGGGCTGCAGCAGTCTCCCCCGGGAAGTCAGGAGCTGTGGCCACCCAGGCCAGGAAGCCAGAGGAGGAGTCGGAGAGCAGCAGTGAGGAGGAGTCTGACAGTGAGGAGGAGGAGGCGGTGGTGGCACCAGCCCAGGTGAGGCCTAACGAGGAGGCGGCTGCCACGCGGGGCCTCTGAGCCACCGCCACCCACTCCTCTCTCAGAACTTGGGTTCGGGGCCAGGTGAGGAACGAAGACCAGATCGAGGCTGCGACTCCCGGATCCTTATCCCACCTGCTGTCTTCCATGTCTCTAGGTGAAACCTGCTGTAAGCCACCCCCAGAGCAAGGCCTCCCTGACGAAAGGTGTCGCAGGCACTCCTAAATCTACCAAGGCTCCCCCAGCACGAGTGGACACACCGGCCCCACAGAAGCCTAGGCCAATGACTCCTGCCAAGGTAAACGAGGCCAAGAATCCAGAGATGTCACAGGGAGTCTTGAGGAGGCTTGGACTGGGAGGCAGGTACCATGCGTCCCCTGGGGAGCTGGAGGGAGACCCGTCCCTCACCTGGGCCCTCATGTAGGCGTGTACATCTCTCCACGGAGAGCTCATCTGGTGTGAAGCCTGGGGAGTGGAGAGAGGGAGGGAATGAGGAACCAACTTTTTTTTCCGGACGGTCTTCCTTCTGTTTGCAGAATGCAGCAGGAGCAGCTGTGTCCTGTAGAAGTCCAGGGGGGACAAACTCCAGGACTTCTCGGGCTCAGACATGTGCTGGAAATGATGTACATAGGCCTGGTGGTCAGCATCGAGCCTCGGTGTCAGGAGAGACCGTAGCGGGTGGTGGCAGCCAGGGCAAACTGGAGAGCTCTTGCCCCATCTAGAAACACGGTCCTTGTCAGCTCCAGCAGCCAGTTGTGACCTTGTAGAAATGTACCCTTCGGGTGGCCAGATCTTCGTGTTGTTTTTTTGTTTTTTTGTTCTTAATGTATGTTTATTTTTGAGAGAGACGGAGACAGAAGGCGAGTGGGTTGGGCAGAGACAGAGGGAGACACAGAATCCAAAGCAGGTTCCAGGCTCTGACCTGTCAGCACAGAGCCTGATGCGGGGCTCGAACTCATGACCATGAGATCATGACCTGAGCCAAAGTCAGATGCTCAACCGACTGTGCCACCCAGCTGCCCCCAGATCTTCATTTCTTAAGGGGAATCGCTGTGCCAGGCTGAGCCCCATCCCCTCTTAGATTCCTGTTTTCTTCACATGTAAAACAAGTACCAAGAAGTCTGTTGAGCACTCCTAGCACTGACTTCTGCCTTCAATGCATGAGACCAACTACGAGTGCCCTCTCTTGCTGGTAGACATAGAGGGATAAAAGATGTTGGCCCTGCTCTCAGTGGGACTTGTAGTCAGTAGGGCAAGATGAAGTGGCTGTATTATTGAGGAATATTCTGGTAGTGCTCTGTCCGATGGAACTGGGAGAACAGGGCTCTGAGAGGCCCAAAGAGATGATTGAGCAGAACTTGAAGGAAGGAAGACCAGGGGTTCACCAGACAAAAAAGTGGAGCTAGGCACTCTGGGGCCCGAGGGCAGGGGTTGCCAAGGGGAAAGGCTGTGAAGTCAGGTGTGTTCCACAAAGGCCAGCCATCCTGTAGGCAATACTCACTTCTAGTTGCTCATTACCAGTACCATTTTGGGGGGGCCTCAGTGCCAGACTAAGACACAAGGGTCCCGGCCGTGTTTAGACATGCAGTATTTTGGTGTGTTTTTGTTTTTTAAGTTTCAAGTGGTTTCCTGTATCAGGACATCTGAATCTTCAGGAGAAAACCTAACTGCAAGAGCTTAAAGGGGATTGGCCATCTCCTAGTTTTGGGTACAACGTTTTGGGGTAACGCTGCTCTAAAGGTGGTCCATTCAGCTCGGCATCATTGGTAACCTCGATTTCTTATGCTCTACCTGCCTCATTGTCGGGGCAGGGCTGCAGCACCTCCAGAAAAGCTAGGAAGTCCCCCAGCTGACCTCCTTACCCCTTATCTCCTTGTCCAGATCTAGGACATGTACTTCCCCTGACCAAAAAAAAAAAAAAAAAACCAACCCCAAACTGCTCATTGGCAAGGGTCTTGTGGTTCTGTGATTGGCTGGGAGAAAGGGCCACCCTCCTCAGAGCCTGGTGGGGGGCAGAGAGACTACCAGAGCAGAGTTGGGGTTCTGTTAGCAAGGAACACATGGGGGCATGGCAGTTGCAGCATGGGTTGTAGCTGACCCATTTAAAGATTAGGAAGTGACACCATTTTCGGGATCTTCTAGTGTCTCTTGAGAAATTGGATTCGGGCAACCTAAGTGGCTCAGCCACTTTGGTGCTGGGCTGAGTAGTGAAGAGGGGCCTCTGCCCTGCCCTGGGCTCCCCTGAGCTGGTTTCCCCCGGTGCCTGCTCCTCTGGCCCCCCGACAGCAGCTTCTGCCCAGCCAGCCTTCCTCGTGTATGCCTGGCCTGGCAGGAGGGGATGGCAGCCTTGGGCCACCTCCAGCTGGCTCCTGCCTTTCCCTGGGGGTGTTACAGCCAGATGTGAGCTGTGCTGGGGCCGCTGGCTCACCTCTGCAACCTCATCCTGGGCTGCTCTGTCCTCATTCAGACGCCTGGCCAACAGCACTCCAGCCCTCAGCTGTTAGTGGGTCTGACTCGCGCGTCCCTTTCAAGAGTACACTCGGGAAGGGGTGTTCGCAGAGTGGAAGCCTGTGTTTCCACTGGCTATGGGGCAGGCCAAGCCGGCAGCTGTCTTCCTGTGCCTGTAGTAAGGGGCCGTGCTGCCTTCCGTGGACAGCCAGCGTGTGTGAGGGTCGTTGCTCACTGGCTGTGGTCCCCCTCAGCTAACACCTTCTCTCCCCTACCCGTCTGCTTGTCCCCTCAGAAGGAGAGTGACTCCAAAACTGCCAGAAGCAAGACCCTGGCCCCAGCACGTCCAGAGAAGAATGCCAGAGGGTCCTCGGAGAGCAGTGGCGAGGAGCTCCCAGCCAGCCAGGTAGGCCCTGCCTTCTCTTTGAGACACTGCAGACTCAGAGCAGGGCAGTGGGCCTCGGGTGGGTGGAGTGGGGGCGAGGGCAGCTCTTTGCCATTTAAACGGCACTTCACAATTTCCTGGACTCTTCCCTCTGTTTTGATACATCCATCTTCACAGTAACCCCTGGGAGGGGGGCAACAGAGCATCCTTGAACATTAGGCTTCAGAGCCAGTGTAGGTCAACACCAGCCCTCCCGGCCACCAGTTCCGTGACCACGGGCACATCTTAACCATTCTGAGGCCCAGACGTTTCCACTGAAGCAGGCAGAGTAACAGTCCCCCTCCTGCGTCTGTGCTCTGCTGTAGGAGGGCACGTGCTTTTGCCCATTTGCTGTGTCAGGAGTCAGAGCCCAGTGAGTTGAAGTCAATTCCCCAAATACCCGTGACCCATAAGAAGCCAAGGCGGAGGTAGACGCCGGCCCCCTGCCTCCTTGTATCTCTCTGTTTCGTGTGTGGCCCTGGGAGCCTTCCCCACGGGGTTTTTCTGAAGCCAGGGGGCAGACCGTGCTGGCGCACCTGTGGCACACGTTCACGTGCTCTGCTGCACCCCAAGCCCTCTCCAGCTGCACCCCTGAGGTTGGGACCAAGCCCCCCGGGTCTCCCCAGCTTCCTAAGTCTACAAGACTGGTGTTCAGGCCTGTGTGAACCCCAGCCTTTCTAGCAATTTCTAAAATTGCCCTTTGTCCTCTAGCCCCAAGTGCCTAGAAGCTTCTGCCAGGTCCCCTCAGGGACGCAAGTCCTCCAGTTACCAGATGAGTGGGGTCTCCTTAACCGTCTCCCACACATACCATACCATGTGCTGACCAGTCCATCAGCAAGTTCACATGTGCTTGCACACCCCGAGTGGTGGGGCACGGGGTTCACTGCCTTTCTCTTCTCAGTAGCAAGGATTATAAAAATCCTGACGAATGGCTACATCTGACATTGTTGGTCACTTTGTGTGTGCCAAGCACTGTGCTAAACGCCATACGTCGTTATTCTGTGTAATTCCTACAACAGCCCTGTGAGGGTAGGTCCCTCTTTTATTCCCATTTTAAGGAGGAAGGAATGAGGCTCAGAGAAGTCGAGCGACCTACCCCAGCATCACACGGCCAGTGCCAAGTGGACAGACCTGGCATTTGAACCCAGGCCGTCCGTGCTCTGCCCGCTGCCCAGCACTGCCTCCCCACTCCTCTCCAGGGAAGGAGGAAGGCGGTTCAGCATTGCCCTCTAGCTCTCCATGGCACCCTTACGAGGCCGCCTTCTCTGTGCCTTCTCTGCTCCGGATCGGGACAGCTGGGAGGGAGGGGGCCGCCTCGCCCTTCTCTGCGGGGGCGGACTAACACAATTACAATGAACATCATGCTTAAACTGAACCATTTAATTGGTACGTTAGTCCTAAAGATTCTGGAGTCCCTGTTAAAAAAGAAGGACAAAAGTTGACATTTTGCGCGTTTCCCTAGGATTCAGGGAAGACGGCACAGCCTGGGGAAGCCGCAGCCTCCTCCTGACTGGGGGTTTTTAGCGCCTCTGTCCTCAGCGCGCTGTGATTATTATCATTATTATGCATTTGTCAAGCACTTCTCTATTGATAAGTTTCACTCTGTCTTTATTATTAGCCCATCAGTGGGGAAAAGGGATCGATGCCAGGGTAGTGGGCAGAGCCTCAGGCTGGGAGGCGGGGAGGGGATTGTGACTCCATTCCCAGGCTCCCTCACTGTGCCTCAGTCTCCCCACCTGCAGGGATGGGCTCCAGCCTCTTTCTCTGAGAGGAATTCCTGGGGGTGGTCTGTGGCTCAGCCCTGTGGTGTTGGCATTGCTAACCCCAGGTCAGGGTCTGTGCTAGGTCTGGGGCAGGTACTGTATTAAGAAGACCTAAGCCCTGCCTTCAGAGTTTCAGGTGGAGTCAGAGAAAAAGGCCTGTAAGGAGCTAAATTAGGGCATTAAGTGGGAGCCCTGGCATGGTTGGTCCTGGAAGGAGCTCCTGTCTGGTGCCTGGAGAACTAACTTCCAGTACGGCTCTGGCACAGTTTGCTGGTCACCCTGAGTGAGGCCACTTGCCCTCTCTTGAGCCTCAGCCTTCTCAGCCCGTGGGGTGACATTCCCTGGGGGCTAGTGAACCACCGAAGCTCCAGGCTCCTCCTTGGAGGGTGGGATTTCCTGGCCCCTTAGGGCAGGGCTGGCCCAGGACCTGTTAATTAGCCCCAGGCAGCTCTCTGAGGCTCTTGGGGTGCTTTCTTGGCTCTGTTCTCCCCTGCCCCCCGTGGGGTTAACAGCCTGGGCTAGTTGGCCCCCTCCCCCACTCTGCCTCAGACTGGAATGAGGGCACAGTTGGAGAGCTCAGCTCTGACAGAAGATCCCCAGGTTTGCTTCTGCAGTGGGAAGGGAGTCCCTGCATTCCCTCTGGGCCCTTGGTGCCCACAGGGCGGCCCAGCCTAACGTTCAGGCTGCCTCAGCTTCCAGTGAGTCTTTGACTGCCACCTCTGTATGTGTATGCTGTGCTTTGCAGTTTCCAAAGCGAATCAGAGCCCCTCTGGTGAGCAAGCCCAGGCTGGGATTACTAATAGCCCTTTCAACAGGTGGGAAACTGAGGCCCACGAAGCTCAGGGGTTGGGCCACATGGTGAAGTCTGGCAGAGGGAGGATCAGAGGCGGGTTTCCCCTCATCTGTGGGTTGCATGACCCACCTTTTCAACTATCCACTGCCACTGGACTACTGTCGTGTCCCTGCCCTCCGAGTCAGGCCCCCTGCGCCGCCCCCGGCCCAGAGGCCATGTGGGCAGGTGGAGCAGGGAGGAGGAGGCGTTTGCTGCCGAGCTGCTTTTAACATCCCAGACGCTATTGTTTGCCTTGGTGCGTTCGGTGCCTCTCTTCATCCCCGACAATCTGTTCTTCTGTCTTCTCACATATATATAGATCCCCCCTCCCTCAACTGTAAGCCTTCTCCCACTTTCCATCCTTCTCTCTTTCATCATGTGGGAAGGCAGGCTCTGGAAGTGGCAGATCAGAGCAGCCGCGGGGGAGGCTGTTTGGCAAGGGTAGGAAGGGCCCCAGCCCAGCAAAGCTTCCAACCTCCGCGGTTACCCCTCTGCTTTACTTTTCACAGTACCTCTCCCACTGCCCCCCTGCGCCCTGGAGGTAGGCAGGGTGGTGAGGTGGGCAAGACTGGGCCCTAGACGTCGGCCTTGGGCAACTTCCTCCTGCTGCTCCTGCTTCCTGTGTTTCCCCCCAGGCTAGACAGGGAGTGGAGCTCAGACCGAGTCTGACCCGAGGGTGGAAGGTGGGCTCATCTGGCGGCCTGACTCCTGGCTCCATGCGTGCGAGGTGCGCGTGCGAGCGGTGGGCATATCCACTGGAGCTGTGACCCCAGCCTGGTCCGCGGGATCCCGAGGAGCTGCTGCTTTCTCTTGTCTTTTGCTGTCTCGCTGGAAGATGGAAAGCCTGCCCAAAGATAGAACAGCATCAAAGAACCCCCACGTGTCTTCCCCAGCCTCAGCGGGTCTGCATTCGTGACCAGGCTCACTTCACGCAAACCCTCCGCTCCTTCCCCAGTACCCCGGCTTCCTTTTTTTTAAAGGACAGCCACCATCCAACGTCACCCCTGAGAAGCTGACCCGCAAAGTCAGTGTCTCCATTTCCCGGATTGTCTCATGAGTAATACTCTTTACATCTGGTGTGTTCCATGGAGTCCCTTAGGTCTTAATGTGTTGGGTATTTCCCCCGTGCGGTTTGTTTGTTGAAGACATTGGCTCTGTGTCGCTGGGTGGTGGCACCCTGGGCCGCGTCTCAGGAAGCCGCATCAGAGTCTCTGGGGTGGGGGCAGCTCGATGATGCACAGCTCCTCAGGTGAATGTGTGTTAGGGCCCAGGCAGCCGAGGGGCGTGGTGCTTAGAGCACCCTGCTGGGCGGGCATCTGGCCCTGGCTGTGTTTCAGTTAAGCTGTGCACCCTTGGGCAGTTCTTTTCTCCTCTCTGAGCTTAGTTTTCTCACCTGTACAATGGAGCTTCTGCTGCTGACCTCAGGGGTTCCTGTGAAGGTCCAATGGGCTCCTATTGAGCCGTGAGGTACTGTGCAGGTCTTAGCAGGTGCATGACCTGAGGGTGAGCCGGGAGTGCCCTGGGCGGCTGCAATGGCCTCTGCCCTCCCAGCGGCCCTGAGCTCTCTGGACCCCTTGCCCTGTAAACCCCCACCCAACTTCCCCTTTGCCTGGCCAAGCCTTTAATCACTCGGGGGGTATGTTTTGTTTTTGTTTTTCAAGGTGATTAAACCCCCTCTGATTTTTGTCGACCCTAATCGTAGTCCAGCTGGCCCAGCTGCTACCGCCACACAAGCCCCAGCTGCAAACACCCCGAGGAAGGCCCGGGCCTCGGAGAGCACAGCCAGGAGCTCCTCCTCTGAGAGCGAGGATGAGGATGTGATCCCTGCTACGCAGTGCTCCATTCCCGGTGAGCACAGTCCTGTAATGCAGGGCTGACTCCCCTGCCGCACCTGCCAGGCTCACCTGGGAGGGACCGCCGGCACGTAACATACGTACGCACGCACGCACACACGCATGCACCAGCCAGCACATCCACACGCACAGACCCCATCGAGGCCCGGAGGGGAGAGGATGCTGACAGAGTCAACACAGCATGTTGCTCAGGCGGGGCTTGGTTCATCCCTATAAGGAACTACCTCCGATCTCCATTTCTGGAGGAGTATTTGCCATGACTTCTGTGTGCTGACTCCAAGGGGTGGAACCCACGCTAGTGGCTAGGAGCTGCAGAGCAAGTTTGTACATAATCTAAGGAAGGGCTTCGTAGTGAATGACGGCCTGAACAGGGAGAATGGTAGTAAGCCTCCTGTTCTTGCTCGTATGTAAGGAGGGTTAGGTGATCCCCAGCCAACCATTGTGGCAAGGATTGCATCTGTCAGGGGGAGATAGTGCCATATCTGGGGTTTCTTTTACTTCTGAGAATCTGGTACGACCGATGACATCAGGAAAGTGGTTAATATTGTAATGCTTTTTGTGAAGATAGTAATAATACCTGATCTTGGTAGGCTAATTAAACAGAGCAGCACAAAAGAAAGAATGTCTCTGTAACCCCACTGTCTGGAATAATTGTTGATGTTTTATAGCTGTTAACTTTACAAAAACTTAAGCTTTGTATGTGTTTTTGTAAAGTAAGATCACACTGTATGTTACCCTCAGGAATTTTTACATATTTTGATGTTACGTATTTACCATGGGATGCCTGCTGGCCACAAGGCAGTCCCTCGGGTGGACTTAGCCTAGTTTACGTAGGCAGGGCTGTACTAGAGGGAGCGAAAGGTTTTGTCTGGGGGCTCTGGGACTAGCACGAGTGGTGCTGCGGTGAACACGTGGACCTGAGCCTTTGTGGATGACCGTGCTATTGTTGTGGAGACTCTTCTAAATGCACAGAGTCCCATTTGGTACCGGTGCTCCCCACCATTACTCAAAGTAGTGGCCTGGCCAGCTGAGGGGGAGCATCATCTAAGAAGAATGGGGAAAGGCAAAGGGAAATCCTGGGGTCACTGCCACAGCACCCTGAGCTTGTAACGTGAGATGGTGACAGCTCCTCCGTGCAAGACTGAGGGAGGGCATTACACAGGCTTCTGCGGATGACATGAGCCCTGGGCCAGGTCCCCAGGCTGATAGCGGGGATCGCTCTTGCGTGCACTGACTTACATCCCGCCCCGCTCCGTCTCAGCCACTAGAACAAACGCAACCACGCTCGTGGCCCACCCAAGGCCCGCTGTCAGAGCCAGCAGCAGTGAGGCGTCCGGTCGGGTGTCGGAAGGCAAGAAACAGGAGGCACCGGTCGCTCAGGTACCTGGCAGGCGAGGGAGAGGGAGGGCCGTGCAGGCCAGCAAGGGTGAGGGGCCCTCTGTCCCCTTGGTACCCGCACATGCTGCTGGGTGGGACTGCCATTGCTTTTGTCCAACACCCACCCCCCCACCCCCCACCCCCCGGCCCTGACCGGGTTCCTGGATTCCTTTGAGCTAAGAGGAAGCGTCGTCCGAAGCACGGTGTCCGGGCCGAGCCGGCGCTGCCCCGCGCACCCCTCGGCAGCCGTTCCAGCTCGGCTGTGCTTTTGGTTTCTTTTTCTCTCTCAGTTTGGAATTGCCGGGAACATGAGTGGGTTCCATGGTATAATGGTTAGCACTCTGGACTCTGGAATTGCCGGGAACAAACCTTGCACTTTTGTAGCGTGGATAGCGGTGACTTCCTAGCTTTCACCATTTTCAGTGCATTTCTGTTGGGTCTTTGCCTAAATCCAGAAGCCTGAGCAGGGTAAAGTTAATGGCTCACTGTTCAAACAATGGAGCTGAGTGCTGCCCTTCAACAAGACAGTTGAGATTTGTCCAGGATTATTCAGGGCCCGAACCCAGGTCTCCTCACAGCCAGTCCATTGCTCCTGGGGCCATAGCGGTTAGTTTTTCTGTCCCGTTGCGCCTCATCCCTTCTGAGAGGGCAGGAGGGAGCACGGGTGTTGGGTGGGTGGCTGGGCTGCGGTCACTGCACCCAGCAGCCTGCACCCATTCGGCCGTTCAGCCAGCAGATGGTGCCAGGCACTGGGGATGCAGCAGGAAGAAGGCAGGGAGCATCCCTACCCTCACAGGCCATCAAACAAGGACGCCAGAAAATAAAAGTACTCACCAACTGGTGGGTGCTTGAAGGAAAGAATATAAGCTAGAGAACAACGGGATGGGCCGCTTTAGGAAGGATCGGCAGGACTGGCCTCCCTAAGGAGGCTAGAGAAGCAGGTGAGCCAGGAAGTTCTCCAGCCAGGGAAACACAGGTGCTGGGACCCTCAGGGGAGGCGCTTGGGGGTAAGAGACGGAGGAAGCAGTAAGACGAGAGGGACCGGGCCGGACAGGCCATGGTGGGGGCCACGCGGCAGCAGAGGGAGCCTGGAGGTTTTCAGGGGGAGCCCTGCCCAGCTCTCTTCCAGTTCTCTCTCCCCGACTGCTGGTGCATGTGGGAAGCAGGAGCGGCAGGCACCAGGGAGACTTTGAGGAGGCTGTTGCAGCCACCCAGCTAGAGACTTGTCCCTTGTGAAGGCTTCGGATTGGGTTGGGGGACTTTGGGTAGGGGCCCAGCTGCTTCCGACCCCTGGGCTAGAAGCCTTTGGATCCTCTGAGAACGATACGATTAGCTTATAACCTGAAGCCTGGCCCCATTTTCTGCCCACATGGTGGCATTGCCCCTTTGACTGTCCCTCAGTCCCCCACTCCAGCCCCATGGCTCCTTGTGCAGTTACAGGTCCCCTCCCATGCCAGCCAGTATCTGTCCAGGGCACGGCATAGATGGCATCCTAAGAACTTGGGAGTCTCAGGGCTGCCTGTGGCTGTCCACAGGTGACAAAGAGGAACCCTGCTCACCTCCCGCTGACTCAGGCCGCCCTGAAGGTCCTTGCCCAGAAAGCCAGTGAGGCCCAGCCTCCTGCTGCCAGGACCCCGTCTTCAAGTGGGGTGAGCTGGGGGAGCCGGGTGGTGTTGGGGCCAGGCCCCACCCTGGAGGGGAGAGTGATGAATGATTACAGAGTGCAGAAAGGAGGGCCCAGGAAGGGGCCGGAGTCCCAGGGCCAGCATTTGCCTGTCGTGTGACTGTGACGTGTACACTTGTCTCGTCCCCATACCCCGCACTCTCTGCTCCCTGGTCTGAGCATCTGTGGGAGGGCTGAGGCCTGGGTGCAAAGCAGCTAACAGTCGCCTAGCCGTAGGGTAACTGGGTGTTCAGGAGGCACCAAGACTTATTTCCCTTCTTTTTTTTCCTTCCACTCTCTTTTTTCACCAAATTAGGTTGACGGTGCTCTGGGAACACTCCCTGTGATGAGTCCCCAGAGAGCCCCTGTGCAGGCCAAAGTGACCAACAAGTTCAGGAAACCTGAGGTTCCTGTGGTCCAGCAGGCCACGGCCACCCCTGCAGGACACCCCAGAGCCAAGGCCTCTGAGACCTCCAACGACAGTGAGGACAGCAGCGGCAGCTCTTCAGGGAGTGAGGAGGATGCTGATGGGCCCCAGATGGTCCCCTCGGCCCACAGACTGGGTGAGGGTCCCAGGAGGGGAAGGCTCGGCGGGCCCAGAGGAGGGGAGTGATGGCCTGGTGGGGCCCTGAGTTCAGGCCTGTGCTCTGGATCTTCACTTGTTCTGCATCCTGGGCCTAGTCATCCCATGCTGGGCCTCAGTTTCCCCACCTGTGCAACCCCATGAGGAGGTTGGTCCAAGTGGTATCAGACTCCGCTGTTTGACCACTCCCAGCTTTTTCGTACCAGGCTCGTAACTGGTCTCCCAGCATTCCAGGGGCATGCCCCCTTCCCCACCCCCAGAAAAGCAGAGAAGCGGAAGTAGGGCCTCAGGAATTAGAAGGTTTTGGCATTTGGATGTCTTACTTAGAAGGCTACAAACAGCCGTTGACCCTGGAAGGGAGTCATAGGAGCAGGTAAAGCCTTGGGCGGGAGGGCAGGGGGCATGTGGAAATCTCAGGCCTTCCTGGGGCCTCCCGGAGGGCTCTGCCTCACCCCACGCAGCCGGCCTCCCAACAGGGTGCCTGTGCTCCTCCAGTAGGTCCAGCCCCCTCCACAACGGAGACCTTGGTGGAGGAGACCACAGCAGAGTCCAGTGAAGACGAGGTGGTGGCACCCTCGCAGGTAACTGCCAGGGAGAGGGCTGGCACCTCAGGGGCCTTGGGGCGGGAGCTCGAGGCCCCCTGATGCCTGTTAGGCCGAAGCCATCCCCCGCAGCAGGGCCTGGTGTCCCCGAGGCCAGGCTGTCTCCTCCGCTGAGGCTCTATTTCAGCCTAAGGCCATGAATAGTGGACTCGGAGTCTGTAGAAAGGGCTTGCCTTGATTTTAGATGAGTCCCGGAAGGGAAGATATTTTGTAACAGATGGGATTTCTTTAAGGTTATCTTCTGTACACGGCAAGCGCTAGTGATTTTCCATTCGCCTTAGCTGTAAGAAATTGCCTTTTTAAATGTGCCTGACGAAAATATGTACTAATTAAAATAGTGCAGGAGACCCATACAAAGGGCTAATGTGCCCACCACCGACAGGGTGGCCCGACCTTAGGGGCTCCCCATTTAGGGGCACCCCAGCAGGCCCTGTGCTCCAGGGCTAGGTGGGGCAGGGTTCCAACCTCGTTCACAGTGGGTTTCTTCAGTCTCTCCTCTCAGGTTATGTGACCCCTGGGCCAACTCTGGCCAATTCCCAGGCTTCAAAGGCCACTCCCAGGACAGATCTCGAACCCTCGGCTTCCTCTACTCCCGCCACCAAAGATGCCCCAGACGGCAAGCAGGAAGTGGAGCCCCAACAAGTAGCAGGCACCATATCCCCTAAAACAGGTGAGTCAAGGGCCACAGGAAAGACACAGTGGGACCCAGTGGGACAAGGCAGTGGGCCCCTTCTTTTTCTCCCTCAGGAATAGTCCCACCGATAGGGTTGTGTGTGTCACCAGGACCTTTCCAAGCAGGGCCTGGTGCCCCAGCGCCCAGGTGTCTGGCCGTTATGATACGAGACAGCCTGGAAGTCGGGTTATCCAGCTTTGTGGGATGCTGGTGCATCTGGTAGGGTGAGCCCTGCCTTAGAGCAGTCTTGGCTCTTTCTAGCTGTGCCTCTTGACAACTGGGCTCACGGTATGGGGTGTAAGGACTCGGGAGCTCAGACAAAAGGCAGGAGCCACGTTTGGAGAAGTTGCTAGCACGTGGCAGAGACCCCCAGTGATGGACTGATTTGTTGTAAAGCCTCAGACAAGACCCTGGGCCACTCTAGGCTTGTGTGTCTAAACAACACAGGGCAGGGTAGATCCATCTAGTCAGCGTCAAGGCATGGCACATACAGAAAATAGTCACGTGGTATTAGGGCAGACTAGAGTGCTGAGGTCACCCGGCCAGGGGCATCAGCCAGCCCTGACTTGCCAGGGCTAAGGGACAGGGATCTCAGGTGGGCATGCCTGGGCCAGCTCTAGGGATTCAGTCCCCAGCTTTGGTGTTCCAGGGTATTTGTAGACAGGAAGCAGACAAGTGGGCTTCTGGAGGAGGAGGTTGCCAGCAAAAACTCTGCCCTCCTCAGCTGCCTTCTCCAACCCCGACCTTTGCCAGGAAGCAGCAGAGGACCGAATTGGGCCTCCCTCTGTCCCGGGACCCCCTCCGCTCAGCCTGCCGTGTCCACCTCCCCTCGCCCACCACAGCCCTGGAGCCAGAGCCGCTTCAGAGTTTGCTCCCTGGGCCCAGTGCATGCTGTGGGGCACAGCCCCCAGCCCCGTGATGCGGAGCTTGGCCGAGTCACCTGCGCACCTTCCAGAGCCCTGCGTGTAGGCATTCTCGTGCCCGTGAAGCCCAGAACACAGTAGAGAGCTGCCGAGTCCCCTGGGAAGTTAGGGGCAGCGTTGGGACACTGCCGACTTCGGCCCCCGCATACACCCCTTCCGTGGCTGTAGCTGCAGCCTGCCGGCACGGGTCAGCAGAAGAGTCATTGCTCACTTTCTTCCCCAGTGTTCTTTGTGAGAGGCGGGTGCGACAGGGAGACATTTTAGAGGGGGCTGTGGAAGGCTTTTTTCACACGTGTAGTCAGCACACAATTATCAAAGGAGAGCAGAGGCGTGGAAAATTCTAAACAAAGGCTGTACCAGAAGTCACTCTGGCAGGCAGCAAACCTGCTTAGTCAGCCGCCACGTGCTTATACAGCATGCCCGTCACCCCCCCAAGCTGCCCTGTCCCCTGACCAGCTTTCACCGTGAGTCTCTGACTTGGAATAGGGCCCTCATTGTTCATCTGAGCTCTTACTTTACAAACAGGGAGACTGAGACCCTGGGAGGAGCGTAGTCCCGCAGCCAGCTGGCGGTGGTCAGACCTGGAATCCAAGGCCCTTGCCTCCCAGCTCTGGACTTCTGACTGGACAAGACCATCTCCCTCCTGTCTGACCTTGCGTTCTGTTGACAGATTCAGGCCCCTTCCTCAATTAACATTCTGGAGTCTTTCTCCACCCCCAACCTGACTCGGGTTTTTCGTGTGAGGAGACAAGAGAGTGAAGTTTAAAACAGTAAAGAAAAGAGCTAAGTTAAAAGCTGCTGGAAAGGTGTGAGCCAGGAGACCCCGCTGGGGCAGAGTGACCACTGGGCTGCCCTTTCCCTGTCTGTACCACATCTGGGGAGGTCGGTCGTGTCCCTAGACCCTTGGTTCTTACACAGTGAGTCTGTTTCCTGACTCTCCCTGATCTGTGACCCCATATCCCCTCTCCATAGGCAGAAGACAGGCTGGTCCCACGCCTCAGAAGCCCCGGAAGCCCAAGAAGGAGGCTGGGAGCCCCCAAGCGTCCACGCTGGCGCTGCAGGGCGACATCAGCCGGCGCCTCCTGAACGAGCCCTGGCCCCTGAACGAGGCCCAGCTCCAGGCCTCGGTGGTCAAGGTCCTGACGGAGCTGCTGGAGCAGGAAAGGAAGAAGGCCGCGGATGCCGCCAAGGAGAGCAGCAGGAAGGCCCGGGGGGGCCGCAAGCGGAAGCTGTCGGGGGACCAGACGGCTGCCAGGGCCCCCAAGAGCAAGAAGAAGAAGCAGCCGGTGGCTGGGGGAAGCGGGGAGGGTGCAGTCTCGCCAGAAAAGGCCTCCGGGACTCCTAAGGGGAAATCCAAGAGAGCCGGAGCAAGTGGTGACATCAAGGAGAAGAAGGAAAAAGAGTCTCCTGGCTCTCAGGGGGCCAAGGAGAGGCCAGAAGGGGAGCCGGGGACGCTGAAGGTGGAGGGTGGAGACCAGGGCAACCCCAAGAGCAAGAAAGAGAAGAAGAAATCCGACAAGAGTAAGTGGTGGACCGCAGCCAGGAGCGCGCTTCCTGCTGAGAGCGGGTCCTCGCTTGGCCAGCCCGGGCGAGCACTCAGTTGCACAGAAGGGAAGGGCTGAGGAATGTTTGTTTGCAGCCCCCGGGCAGGTAGTGGCAAAGCCAGAACTGGACCCCAGAGCGGCTCTGACTTCTGGGGCGATGCTCCGGCTTCTCAGGGGCCCAGGCACCTAGGTAGCAGGTTCCCCTCAGAGCTCCCAGAAGCGGCCGCCTCTCGAGCTCTGTACATGCCCGCATGCAGTGGAACCCCCTGTCATCCCCACGCTAGCCCTGTACCTTCGGTGACATTCCCATTTATGGGTAGAATGTAGCTTTTTAAAATAAATGTATAGAAGTTTTAGAAAGTGAGTTAAAAATAGTCCAAGTGGTCTGTGGATGGGGCGGGCCCCACGGGCTCTCAGGCCAGGGCAGGTGGTCACAGAGCCCTGTGGGTCTTGTTGGGATGGTTCCCCGATGTGTGGGGAGAGCCGGGACCTGGCTTCGGCAGGAGTGGGTTCTAGGACCCTGGAGACCTGCCCTGTCTCCATACTGACCCCGCCGCTTCTGGTACTAAAGAGGTTTACTTTCTTTCCTTAGAAAAAAAAGACAAGGAAAAAAAGGAAAAGAAGAAGAAAGCAAAAAAGGCCTCAACCAAAGACCCTGACTCACCATTCCAGAAGAAAAAGAAGAAAAAGGTAGCATGAGTTCCTCAGGGGGTCTCTGGCCAGAAAAAGGATCCAGACCCCATCCTGTGCGTGTCAAGAGTATGGGTGGGGTGAACCAGACCTGGTCCCTGCCGCCTTTCCATTCTCGGGGTCCAGAGGTTGGGGGTTTGCGAGTTGTGACACACTGGAGAGGACCAGGGGAAGGCAGGTGCCACCTGAGGAGGGACAAGGTCTGTGCATGTAGAAGCTGTGAGGTCTGTGAGGTAGAAGGATGTTCTTGGGGTGGGTGAAGGAGAGCCCCCAGGAGGCTAGAGGCCAGCCAGGTAGGCTGAGGTGAGAGGAAACCTTCCCCGGGATGTGTGTACCCCAGCTCGCAGGGTATCCCCACCACAGAATTATGGGTTCCAAAGACCGATCACATGAGGTGAGGTGGGAGTGGAGGGTGCTCCGCACCTTATATGGGTGCAGTTCTCTCCTCGGCCAGCGGGGCTTCAGCTGTGCTCAGAAAAGCTGAGCATCTGTTACTCAGAGACCCAGGCTCCTTCCTGGGCAGATGGGGCCCCATCCCTGCCCTTGGGGACCCCTATATCTGTTCTCGGGGAGCCACGAATCCTCAGGAGGGAACCATCATATCGCTCCCGGTGGGGGCAGCATGGGGGGAGGGGGGGAGATGCTTCCAGTACATGCTTCTACTTGTCTCCCTCACAGAAGAAGACAGCGGAGCAGACTGTGTGAGGGGCACAAGAGGACAGGTATGCTTCCTGGCCCGGGGATCCCTGCTGACCTCCCCTCCCCCGTGAGGGTGGGAGGGCAGCTCTGGCATCTGGCGCGGTCACAGGGGGCCGGGCAGGCGGGCTGGAGAAAGTGGTTCCGTCCCTCAAGGTCAGTGGGACCAGCGAGGTGATGCCAGAAGTCAGAGCTGCAGAATCAGAAGAGTCCAGAACAGCAATGGCAGTGACCAACACGGGGCTCCCTGGGTGCCCGCGCGGCTCGTGCCTTAGGAGCCGGGCACGGGGCTAGTGCCTCTTTGTATATGAGGATGAGGCTTGAGGTCAGATACGGCTTGGTCTCTCCCCACCACTGTCTAGTTCCTTTTCCTTTTGATTTTGTAACTTTGAGGGCATCGTCCGAGGCAGAGGAAGACGGTTTAGTCAGGCCAGGCCATTCCTGGGGATCTGGGCTCGCTCTCGGGGTGGTGGTAGGAGGGATTGAGTGTTCCACCCGGCCGATCGGCCCCAGCAGCCAGCAGCCTCCTGGAAATGGGGGTAGCCCAGCCTGCCTGGGTGTGGTGAGGGTTAAGTGGATCGCTAGAGCACTCAGCCCAGTTCCTGGGACGCGGGCAGGGCCACCAAGTGCCCTCTGTGGTTCATGCTCCTTCCCTGCATCAGAGATACCAGGTCTTGCTTTTGTTTTCTTCTCTTCGGAGAAAAAGGTCAGAAATCTTCCATCTGGGTGTTTCCTTCACCCAGGGATTTCTTAGCCAGGCGGTGACCAGCCCCGTGCCTCTGCCCTCTGCCCACCATGGGTTGGAATTGAATCTTTAAGCTTCCCTCCCTCCCCAGAAGACGACAGCCAGCTGCAGTGTCCGTGCTGGCCGAGCGAAGGAGCCCTGCAGAGAGGCTGGTCCGAGGAGGAAGAGGAGGAAATGAATCCAGATCCAGTGACCTCCACTCACTGATTCCACGTCTGACTTCTGTCCTGACACCGAACGCTTCATATAGATGTGTACAGTATATATATATATTTTTTTAAGTGACCTGCCTCCCCCTTCAAACACAACATGCCCAGAGGCCTCGGGACTTTGCACCTCTTTGCCCTGCAGACCTAGCAAGGCCCAGCCTACAGCTCCTTCCATCCCTGGTCTCTGGCTGATGCTGAGGCCTTGTCCTCCTCTATCGGTTTTTTCCCTGTTTTGTTTGTGGTTTTTTTGTAACAACTCAAAATAAAAGGCTTGAAGGAAAGGTGGGAGTTCCTAGTGCATCGGGGACAGACGTTTTGCAGCTGACCTGTTCTTGGAAGGGAGAGTCTGGCCGACACCTGCAGGTGAACAAACCATCGCTCAGGATTTGTTCTTTACACATCAAGGCTCTGGGATGCTTTGGTGAGTGGGACAGACAGGTTGCCAGAGGAGACTCTGCAAAGTGCCCCCAGGTATTGAATCGGTGGGGAAGGAAAGCTTCCTGGAAGAAAGGGCGTCTCAGCTAAGGGGACCTGAAGCACGGTCATGGTCGATTTGCTAGGTCGATTTGCCTGCTAGGGCAGGCCAGGCAAGTACCCAGAGGCACGAAATGGAAGCGGGGGGTACTTTCCCAGCCACCTTTTGAAGTTAGGGTTTGAGCTGAAGGCAGGCGCTCTCGGGGAACCACGGGCAGAGGAGGAGCAGGAAAACCAGTTAGGCCTGAGGTGCCCTCGTGTCCAGGTAACAGAGGTTCTGTGATGGTGACGGTGAGAAACAAGGAACCCAAAAGAGCTGTCCGGGTGATCTCTGTATGACTTGGGGAGGGCAGCAGTGCGGTTGCCCAGAGCAGCGCAGAGCACCAGAAGTCATGGCGATTTCTCTCCAAAGCTTCGAGCCTTCTGCTAGTGAGAGTAGGAGGCCGTGCAGATAGAGTGCTGGGCCGGAGGCCTTGGGAGACCCAGGGTGGCATCCGGCTGCACCCTTAACCTGGGGCCCTGCCCCCGTGCTTGCCTCTGTCCCCGCACCAAGTGTGTCAGTCTAGAGCAGGTACGGTTTTGATAGGGGTGAGCCCCCTGGTTCTCCACAGCCCCCACTCGCTGGCAGGCCTGACACCGGGCCTGGGTCATTGCCGTCTGTCCTCACACTCGTACTGTTCTTAGTACAGAAGTGAGAACAGGGATCTGGGAAAATGGCAGCTGGACCGAGAGGAGCTTGCACTTAAAGAGTGATGGGCAAGAGCCTGTTTCTTTTTGGAAGCAGAGTATTTCTGTGCGTTAACATGGAGACCCAAGTATGTCTGTATCTAAAGAGTGCACCCCCACAGCCTGCCTGGCCCCACGGGCCTCTGGGGGGCTCCCTGGGCTGCGCCCTCCCACCCACACCGCTGGATTCAAGGTCTCTGTTACCTCCTTGGGATAAATGAACCAGATCCCAACAACAGTCAGGAACCAGAAGTGGTCTACTTACTATGTTTTATTCTCGGAGCCTCAGCCCTGGGGGCTAATGACAAGCTTGACTGCACACAGGGAACTGGGGGTTGGCAGAAAGGGAGGTGGGGTTGTGGAGAGGCTGGTTCTTCCTGGGGGAGTGTCGCTAGAGGGAAAGAGTGGCTCATCCCCCCTAGTTAAATAGGCTACAAAGCCAAGGCCGAAAGAGAGCGACAGCAAACATGTTGGGTGTAGGGAAGCATCGTGCCCTCTCCCTGCACCTTCCCACTTCGTCCATGGGCCTGGATCTTGGGGCTCCATGTTGGAGGCTGAACTGGGGGTCAGCCTAGCTCTTGGTTCACCTTCGTGGGCCGTGCATCCCTGCTGATACGTGGGGTTTGGGCAGCAGGGCCCGCATCGTTAAATCTGTGCTGCTCTGACAGGACGCGTGTCCAAGGACGATGGAGAGCCAGGTGCCAGGGTGTCATGGAAGGAGGCGCAGAAGGGGAGCTGGTGAGCAGGGGAGCGGTGTGTAAGGGAGGGGAGAGGGGCTAGGGTGGGAGGAGAGAGGGGAGCAGGGAAGCAGTGGCCATGCAGGGCTGGTTGTGTGCTGGCGTCTGTGTCTGCTGTTCACATGACCACTATGGAGAAGAGAAGCAGCCGGTTAGGGTTGAGGTCCCCTGTTGTCCCTGACCCTTCCCAGCACCCTGGGATCTCAGAGCAGTTGAGGACTTGCCACCCCTGCAGCCCCTAGAGGTGGTGCTCATGTGAAATGGTTGTCCCCGGGGAGGTTGGAGAATGACCCAGGGTCATGCTGCACTGGCCATTCATCCGTGAGGGATTCAGCCCCTCTGGGGATACGTTGCTGGGGACCAAATGTCCCCTGCAGGAGCCCTTACCTTGGCCCAGGTCCGGCTTGGTCATGCCCAGCCCAGATGACAGGTCTTCAATGTCCACTGACTCTGCAAAGGAGTAGCAAGTCCATTTGTCACTTGGCAGTCCAGCCTCCCACACCCACTGGCGAGGGGCCTGGGTCATTCTTCCCAGCCCAGCCACAGGACTCTTGTCGGATGGCAACAACCAGGCGTGGTCGGGGAAGGCCACGGGAGGGGATGATGACACAGGATGGGTGGGCCTGTAGGACTCCCGGATGCACTGTGGGTGGTGCAGGGCTGCGTGAGCATCACAGGTGAGGGACAGAAGGACAGACGAGTAAGTAGATGAGTGGAAGTGAGGAGAGAAAAGGTGGATGGACAAACACGTGAGGAATGCACGGGTAGGTGGATGGATAAAGGGGTGGCTGAGCGGCTGCCCCCAGGAGCTCGACTGTCCGGGCCACGTGTGCGCCAGGAGGGACTTCTCGCCCCACAGCCTTCCTGGACCTTCCTGCTCCTTTGACACTCCCTGGCCGAGTAGGCACTCTTACCACTGCAGTTACGGTGCCCGTGGCTCCTGGTGTGGGGGACCTCGGTGCCGTTGGGGAAGACGCACCAGCAGTAGCCGGTGCTCCCATAGCACTGGAGCGGCTTATAGTTGCCGTCCTCGTCGCACTGGGGCCTGAACGTGCCAGGGTGGACGGCGGGAATGCGGCTGACCTCTTCCTGGCATTTGGTCAGTACTGAAGCGACAGGCATGGCGAAGACAGTGAGTGAGCAGGCCCTGGGCCAGGGTCTCGGCAGAACGAGAGATCCACATGCCACTGCTGTGGGCCTGATGCCTTCTGCCCAAGTGGCCGCACTCACTCTACCCATTGCACAGATGGGGAAACTAAGGCATGGACCAACAAAGTCTGAGATCAGAGGAAGTGAATGGCCATGTGGCTGATTTATCCCAGAACTTGATGATTTCTTCTGACACTCAAGGCCTATTAAAGTTTGGGATCACACTTGTGAGTCTTATTTGTAGGGAAAAGCAGTGGGCGTCTCGGGAAGTCTGAGCTGCTGTTACCGGGGTTATCCAAGTACAAATTGGGGCTTTGTTGAGGATGTAGAGGGAATTCAAACATCAGCTGGGAGTTGGTCGAGATGACACTGAACGTGCCTTCTGTGAACCTATGACGGAAAAATCGGAGGCCTAGGGTGGGGCGGGCCACTGTTCTTCTACTTCCAGACCTGACGCCCAGAAGGAAGACCCTGGCCCAGAGTTGCATGGCAAATTAGTGCCAGGATGGAGACCTGGCACTCTGCGATGCTTCAGGGCTGAAAATCCTGCCATACGTTGTCCACAAGATGGGAGAACCGCAAGGCCCTCTTGTCCGGCACCTGCTGGCTGTGAGCGTGAGGAGGTCCCTCTGAAGGTGGGGTCATGAGCCCTCCCAGCCCCCTCAGGAACCTGTGCAGTGTGGAGCGGGGAAGACCTTGTGATGACACCTGGGATGTTTCG